TATTACCACTTAAGAGCCTATCCTAGTATCGTGACTCTGGAACTAAACAATTATTTGTACCCCTTACATTTTAATATGCCAATACAAATAGTAAATGATTCATTAACAAGTAAAAGATTGTTTAAATTACTTAGTAAGTTATAGTTTCATTAATTTTTTAAATATATTTCTATAGTTTGTAAATTCATAGTTAAGTTCTTAATTAGACTTTAAAAATTTGTGATTAAGTTTTGATCTGGATAAAATATAATAGACCCATTAGAGGTCTAAAGACAATAAAGAAGCCCAATCTTGTGAAGGGCCCGGAACTAAGCGTGATGGTCATCATCGCGCGCATGGCATGACACGATGCCTCCATCGCGCATAAAACCGTCCTTTGGCATAAACTCCAAAGATACAGAAGCTAACTTAAAAGCCAAGGCAAACTCACCGCGCCTTTGAGCTAATAAAAAAAGGACAGCACCAACCCGCCGCAACTCTATCAGGATAGCTCAACATTAAGAAGATAAGGCTATTCAGGCTCTAGCCAAACCTGCAACCCAGAAGCAGCCAATCAGAGGTCATACCGCCTTCAGAGGGCAGCAACAGAACCACTATATAAACAGAGGGTACATGCCCAGGTATGATGATCTAATTCATTAAGAATATACTCACACCTGCCTCTAATACTGACTTAAGCATCGGAGTGTCTTCGCAGGTACCCCCCCATCCAGTCTCATCGCGCAAACAAAGGTCAAGAACATGCAGATCATCATCAACAACTCCAAGCCCAAGACGAAGAGCATCGTCCCCACATCAACCGTGTGTGATTAGGCCCGATATACTTTGGTCGGTCCATATTATATTTGGTCTGATCATTGGCGCGGTCTGTGGGAAGCCCTTCCAGCTTTGTCAATATGACAAGCCCACGCAACATATAATGCAAGGCCGTCCTCAATATGTTTGAAGTATCGCGCGATAGGAGAAGAAGTATCGCGCGATGAGTTTGAAGAGGACGATCTAGGGTTTACTGTATTAACAGACCTATAACTACATTTAGAACTCGAAGAAGAATCACTCGAAATCAAAATAGGACCAGTCATTCTAAAGGAAATCTTTGAAAACAAAGATGAACTCTGTTGAGAAAGGGTTTTCACATTTTCGCGATCAGGCTGTCGCGAAGACGAACCAAATTCAAACCGACAAACAGAAGGTAAACGTCTATCATTCACAAAAATGCGACATAATTGTATACGTACTCAAGTAGCTCGTATCTGAAGCCTCACGCGCAATGTTACTTAGAGTGGTCACAGTCTGCTGTTCCAGATCACTTAAATCATCAAAATTATAGATCAAATTTTTACCCTCTTACGGATGCTCGGTCCAATACAAAGGGAAGATGGGAGTGTTATCCTCTCCTAAGAAAAATGGGCTGGCACCTTCGGCAGGATAAATCTTGAAGAATTCTGTGGTCCACTTGTAAATCTTCCTTTGTTACGATTCACAGAACTTAACCTTACTTCTAAAAGAAACCCAACTCAAATGTGGTCCCATCACGCTAAACATATACAAAAATGACTCTGGTGATTGAAAAAGATTGTAGACCTTGCAGACCATCTCGTATACCCTGATAAAATCCCAGGCATTTGGGGTCAATTGTGAGGGCGCCACGTTAATATGCACTAACAACTTACAAACGAAAGACGAAAAGGGCAGACGAACTCCTAACGATAAGAAAAAAATAGGCATACATCATAATGAAGTGCCTTGCAGACCCTTCTGCGCGCGATGAGCAAACACGCTTGTTTAAAGGGACGACATCAATTTTCCACTGATCATCAAAAGCTTTGTCAGGGGTGAGGTGGATGGAAACTTTTACTTGAGCTAATTCTTTCGGAGAACAATATATAGAAGCAATATCCATTACCGTATCTGCTACCCAACTTAGGGATTCCTCATCCTGAAGATTACGTTTGACCGAGGATTCTCCTTCAGGATTAATCTGTAATGCTTTCTTCTTTCTATCGGGATTCATCTTTTGCTTCTTCTTCTCACCAGCACCACGTCTGGCCATAATTTCCTTGATTTGAGGGGAAACGAAATCTGATTCAGAAGAAGAATCAATAGAGGAAGACGAGTCAGAGGAAGCAGAGACAGCAAATGCAGATTTATAATTATCAAAATTCCTTTTCTTAAAAGGATATCTTGCTGGGTAGATTACATTTAAAGGTAAAGGACTGGGACTCTTCTGACCTCAAGAATCTTGCGCGATAGGAGACGAAGTATCGCGCGATGAGTTTGAAGAGGACGATCTAGGGTTTACTGTATTAACAGACCTATAACTACATTCAGAACTCGAAGAAGAATCACTCAAAATCAAAACAGGACTAGTCATTCTAAAGAAAATCTTTGGAAACAAAGATGAACTCTGTTGAGAAAGGGTTTTCGCGTTTTCGCGATCTGGCTATCGCGAAGACGAACCAAATTCAAATCGACGAATAGAAGGTAAACGACTATCATTCACAAAAACTTTTGAAAAGGGAGCGGCACACTTGTCAGTAAGCCACGCTTCCCTTGTTCCCAACGACCTTGATCAAGGTAACAATCTAAAGGGAGGATTGGACGAGCCAGACCGTTCGGATAATCTGATAAAATTCACAAATTTGCGATTATCAACATATCCCAGGCCCAAAGTAGAACGATGAAACATATGAGGTAATTAAAAAAGACGAAAAGCTCACCTAAGATTTATACTTCGGATGAATAAAACTACGAGCAGGACGCGTCAACAATGGAAAAGCAAAGGCAGTAAGCAAATGTTGAGGAACAAAGGATCTCCTACAGTCACAATGACAAGTTTTCCCTCCAAACCGAATAGCTCAGTACAAATATGAAAACTTTATCAAACAGATATTCCGAAGGTCACAAAAACGTGTTGAGTTAAACGGTTTTACAGGGACACGTGGAAAGAAGGTAAAACGTTTGCACTTCAAAACAACCCACACTTACCCTTAAAACACCCTTGTAATTACAATAGCATTTAATGCTTCTGACAGTTAACGTCTAATCCACCATTCTTAAGCGGCTAAAAATCATGATGACACTTCAACACGACTATCACAGCAACATATAACCGCGCCAAAGAAATCTATCGCGCACAAATATATATATAGATATCTCACAGCTTTGCCACATATCAAAACTGCGAGCTAGGGGGCAACTAATCTGGATAAAATATAGTAGGCCCATTAGAGGCCCAAAGACATATAAAGAAGCCCAATCTCAAGAAGGGCCCGGAACTAAGCGCGAAGGTCATCATCGCGCGCATGGCATGATGCGATGCCCCCATCGCGCATAAAACCGCCCTTTGGCATAAACTCCAAAGATACGGAAGCTAACTTAAGAGCCAAGGCAAACTCACCGCGCCTTTGAGCTAATAAACAAAGGACAGCACCAGCTCGCCGCAACTCTATCAGGATAGCTCAACATTAAGAAGATAAGGCTATTCAGGCTCTAGCCAAACCTGCAGCCTAGAAGCAGCCAATCATAGGCCATACCGCCTTCAGAGGATGGCAACAGAACCACTATATAAGCAGAGGGTACATGCCCAGGTATGATGATCTAATTCATTAAGAATATACTCACACTTGTCTCTGATACTGACTTAAGCATCAGAGTGTCTTCGCAGGTACCCCCATCCAGTCTCATCGCGCCAACAAAGGTCAAGAACATACAGATCATCATCAATAACTCCAAGCCCAAGATGAAGAGCATCCTAATCAGCCGTGTGTGTTTAGGCTCGATATACTTTGGCCGGTCCATATTATATTTGGTTTGATCAGGTTTCTTCATTAATTGATAGCAATGAGACTTTATATGAACCTTTATTAAATTATAAGTACATGTTTAACATAAAACACAATTATATGAGAATATGTAAAAGCTCCATATATATATAGGATTTGCATTTGTCATTTAACATGACACAACAAACTTTTCTACACACACAACATTTTGTGGGACTCACACTTTTTGAAGAAAAAAGAAAAAGAAAAAATTATGGCACGCAAAACGAATCTCTATAACATTACACAATCATTTTTCCTACAACATAACTCTTATAAAATCCTATATATATATATATATATATATGTGGGCTTAACATTTCTGCAGCAGCCGTAGATAGTGTTATCTGCAGCTGACACAGAAAAGTGGGCCCCGCGGCTTTTAAAAAAAAAAAAAAAACTCAGGATCCGTTGCCGTATCCTAAGATCCGGACGCGGATCCTTGCTTGCTGTAGGTACAGCAGCTGCAGAAATCATTTTGTCTATATATATATATATGGGAAAAACATTTCTCAAGCAGCTTGAGATAAGTTTATCTCCGGCCTCCCCAAAACTACGTTGTTTTGTTTATTTATTTCCTTTTATTAATTGATTCACCTTTAATTGGTTATGATTCCATTTTTCTCTCTTTTCCTTTATCACCACTGATCCATCTTTGTACGGTTATGATTTAGTAACTGGAGATAAAATTATCTCCGGCAGTTTGAGAAATGATAAGCCCTATATATATATATATATATATATATATATATATATATATATATATATATAGGCAAAATGATTTCTGCAGCTGCTGTACATACAGCAAGAAAGGATCCGCGTCCGGATCCTAAGATACGACAACGGATCCTGAGTTTTTTTTTTTTTTTTAAAAAAAAAACCGTAGGGCCCACTTTTCTGTGTCAGCTGCAGATAACACTATCTAGGCTGCTGCAGAAATGTTAAGCCTATATATATATATATATATATATATATATATATATATATATATATGTGGAATGTGTTTGCATTTATTTCTAGTAACGAATCTCACAATAGAACAATCAAATTTCATTATTATACAAGTTCGTAGTTATTAAGGACTTAAATAAGAAATTAGAAGCCTAGATTTTAAACCTTTTACTTACAACGTGTGGTTAAGCCTCAGCATCTTCAGTTGGTAAAAACGACAATGCTCAGTGATAAGTGAAGTGATAAACATAAACCCCAATTTTCATTTCCCACACTCTCACTTCTCCGACATGCCAAACGACGGCGTTTCGGTTCTCTTCCTCATCGTCGTCTTCCAATGCCTTCTCTCCGCCAAGGCTCACTCGGCGATCCTTCTCCCGAGTCAACTCAACCGTGACTCGCCGATCTCATCGCCGGTGAGTTGCCCCGCGCCCGACCCCAACCTCTACTACCAGCCGGTCATCGGAATTGTCAGCCACCCCGGCGACGGCGCCTCCGGCCGCCTCAGCAACGCCACCGGTGGTTCGTACATCGCCGCCTCCTACGTAAAATTTGTGGAGGCCGCCGGCGCCAGAGTTGTTCCCCTAATCTATAACGAGCCACCGGAGAAGCTTCTCAAGGTTTAATCATCATCATCATCATCATCTACTGTTAGAACTGTTTGTGATGATATTGAATACATTTTTGCACTCATTGCAGAAGCTCGAATTGGTAAATGGGGTTCTCTTCACTGGTGGATGGGCTAAAAGTGGTTTATATTTTGAAACTATCGGAAAAATATTTGAGGTATCTGTTTATCTTTAACTCTCACTTAGTAATAATTATGCATGCAGATTTCATAGTGGCTTGTATTAGATTAAACAACTTGCATTTTTTTTGGAGATTCTATTTGATCCTGAGTGAAACTGAGGCTTCTAGAATTTGAAATATGAATAGTGGTGTAGGAATTTTTGTTCAAGAGTTTGTTTGAGAGATATAATATAAAAATCATTTATGGACCTTCACTCCTCACCTTAAGCTGTTGGGTGGAATGATTGTTTATCATGGTATCCTATGTGACCATGGGATCACGAGTTCGATCTTCACGGTTGGGCCTTCACTTCTCAACTTTAGTTGTTGGGTGAGTTAAATAACAAGAGAAAAGAGAGGAACATTTGAAATATTTCTGTGTGTATTGACTGATGAAGGCTGTACAATATATAAACAGACTAATGGACTAAGCCCAAACCTAATGTAATCTGACCTAATACAAAATAAGGAAACCCTAATTACAATATATTTCTAACACTCCCCCTCAAGCCGCACCAAGCTTGTTACATATAAACTCTATTCGAGGGCCCCTCAAAGATTTTGTAAACACATCTGCTAATTGCTCATTAGAGGGTACAAAGCTAGTTTTAATTTCACCAGCAAGAACCTTTTCTCGAACAAAGTGGCAATCTATTTCTATATGCTTGGTTCTTTCATGAAACACTGCATTTGATGAAATGTGTAGAGCTGCTTGATTATCACAAATGAGAGTTGTCTGTCCAGTGTCTCCAAACTTAAGTTCTCTGAGAAGCTGTTTAAGCCAGATGAGCTCGCAAGTAGTAGTCGCCATGGAGCGGTATTCTGCTTCAGCACTTGATCTGGCAACTACGCTTTGTTTCTTACTTTTCCAGGAAATCAAGTTGCCTCCAACAAAGACACAATACCCAGAAGTAGATCTCCTATCAGTTGGACAACCAGCCCAATCAGCATCACAATAGCCAACCACTTTATCATGACCTTTATCTTCATATTCAAGGCCTTTCCCTGAAGATGCTTTGATATACTTAAGAATACGAATGACTGCATTCCAATGTTCTTGACATGGAGAATTGAGAAATTGACTGACAACACTAACTTCAAAGGAAATATCAGGCCGAGTGACTGTGAGGTAGTTCAATTTTTCAACCAATCTTCTATACTGCTCAGGATCTGAAAAGGGCTCCCCCTAATTTGGTAGAAGCTTGATACTTGGATCCATAGGAGTATCAACAGACTTTGAATTTAACAGAGCAGTTTCTTCAAGAATATCCAGAGCATATTTCCTCTGAAATATCACAACACCAGCTTTAGATTGGGCCACCTCGATTCCTAAGAAGTATCGAAGTTTCCCAAGATCCTTAGTCTGAAAATGATGACATAAGTGTTGTTTCAATCGAGTGATCCCATGCTGATCACTGCCTGTGATGACAATATCATCCACATATACCACCAGATAAATAGATCCAGAAGCAGAATGACGATAAAAGAGAGAATGATCAGTTGCACTCCGAGTCATGCCAAATTGTTGAACAACACTGCTAAATTTACCAAACCAAGCTCTTGGAGATTGTTTGAGGCCATAGAGAGACTTACGAAGACGACAAACAAGACCTGACTCCCCCTGAGCAACAAATCCAAGAGGTTGCTCCATATAAATTTCTTCCTCAAGATCACCATGAAGAAAAACATTCTTGATATCCAGTTGGTAGAGAGGCCAATGGCTAATAGCAGCCATGGCAATAAAAAGGCGAACAGTAGACATTTTCGCCACAGGAGAAAAAGTATCAATAAAATCCAAGCCAAAGACCTGAGTGAAACCCTTCGCCACCAAGCGAGCTTTAAGACGATCCACTTGACTATCAGGTCCAACCTTAACAGCATAAATCCATCTGCAACCAACCATAGATTTTCCAGAAGGAAGAGGCACCAGGCCCCATGTGCCATTATGATGAAGAGCACTCATTTCATCAATCATAGCTTGTCTCCATCCCGAATGTGAAAGTGCATCACCTGTAGTCTTAGGAACAGATACAGAGGACAAAGAGGAAAGGCAAGCAAAATATGATGGAGAAAGACGATGATAACTAATATTGACTGTATACCTGGCCGGAGGGCGAGTATCACGAGTACCCTTACGAAGAGCAATGGGAATGTCACTATCCGAAGGTGGGACCGAAGCCATGGGAGGAGATGCAGTTGAATGTGAGTCCACAGATACATCTGACGAACTATGCTCGATCTCATTAGCAGAAGAGGTGATAGAAGGAGAGTCAGAAACATGGACGGGTAAAGACGGAAGGTAAAGAAGGTCACTTGGGAAGGATGACTGTACAGAATCAGTATCCACAGGAGTAGTAGAGGTTCCAAAAAAGGGAACTGATTCAAAAAAGGAGATATCCGCCGAGATAAAGTATCGACGTAAAGTGGGAGAGTAGCAACAGTAACCCTTCTGAGACCGAAGATAACCCAGAAAAACACATTTATGAGACTTGGGAGCTAATTTATCCAAACCTGGACCAAGATGATGAACAAAACACGTAGAACCAAACACATGTGGAGTTAAAGGATATAAAGCTTGATGGAGAAATAAAATAGAGTGAGGTACCTTATGATTGAGAACAGATGATGGCATGCGATTAATGAGATAGCATGCAGTAAGTATAGCATCACCCCAGAATGTGTTCGGAACATTACCATCAATTAACAAGGCACGAGCGGTTTCAACCAGATGGCGATTCTTGCGCTCGGCTACACCATTTTGTTGAGGTGTATGAGGGCAAGATGTTTGATGAAGAATGCCATGAGATGAAAAGAATTGTTGAAATTGATGAGATAAGTACTCACATGCATTATCACTACGAAAAGTACGAATAGGAATACCAAATTGAGTTTTTATTTCATTATAAATTAACTGAAAAATAGAAAACAACTCAGACCGCTTTTTCATTAAAAATAACCGAGTACATCTGGAATAATCATCAATAAAAGTAACAAAGTACTTAAAACCCAAAGTAGAAGAATGACGGCTTGGTCCCCAAACATCAGAGTGGACCACACAAAAAGGAGAAACAGCTTGACGACTAAGACGACTCGGAAACGTACTACGAGTAGGTTTCCCAAACTGACAAGATTCACAATTTAAAGTAGAAAGAGACGATAAATGGGGAACCATCTTCTGAAGCTTTGCAAGACTAGGATGGCCCAGACGAGCATGGATAGTAAGAGGAGAATCCACAGTGGAGCAGGCTGAAGAAGAGGGAACTAGTTGATAGAGGCCCTGAGACTCACATCCTTTGGTAATCTCCTTCCCCGAACTCCGATCCTGAAAGATGACCGAGGTTTTAGTAAAAGAAACAACTCAGTCAATGGATTTAGTCAACCGACTAATAGAATGTAAGTTAAAAGAAGAATCGGGAACATATAGAACATGATCCAGAGATAAATTAGATAAAAGAAGAACCGTGCCAATCCCCCTTGATCGGACCAGAGACCCATTGGCCATAGTAATAGTGGGAAAAGAACCAGTAGTACAAAGGGAAGTGAATAAGGACTTATTACCAGAAATGTGATCAGAAGCCCCAGAATCTAGAGTCCAAGGGCCAATAGAGTGCAACTGAGATATGCCAGTAAAAGAATCACCAGTGGGAGCAATGGATGCAGTAGGACCTGATGTTTGCTTCTCAGACCACCAAGTCACAAAAGCTTTTGCCTGATTCCAAATAGCTTCACAGGTAACAGCAGGTCGAAAAATCTGCTTGATAGACGGATGAAGAGTAGCTTTAATGAGACTACACAACTGAGCATCAATCATCTTCCATCGTGTGCGCTCATTTTCCGCCACAGATTCAGCCTTAGTGGTGAGATGGGATGTATAATTCTGCCCATCCAACTAGAGTCGCAGATCGGAAGACCAAGTATCATAATTGGACCCATCCAATTTATCCACACTCAACGGAGCAAGGATATAATTTGAGAAAATAGTAGACTCCGACTTTTGTCCCGTCGAAGTCCCAGAAACAGAAACATTGGAGACAGGAGTGTCCATAATCAAAGGAAAAAAGCAGAAAGAACGGGTCAAAAACTAACCGGTAGAAGAGGGATCTGTGCGTCAACACAAAAAGAGGTCCAAACACCAAAACAAGACCAGATCCAGAACCTAAGCAAGGAGACGAGAAGATCGCAACCAGCCGCGGCCAGAGAGGGGCCTCCACGCGCCGACGGAGTGAAGGAGAGTGGTCGAGTTGTCACGCTCGCGTGAGGGCGCGTGTGACCTTGAAATTGGACGAGACCGGTGGCGTTGGAATCGCACGGCGGAGACGATCACGGCGATATGTGGATCGCCGGAAAAGGTGACCGGACGGTGGTTCTGGACGAGACAGAAGCTGTATGCGGAGAGAGAAGCGTCCGAAAAGTGACAAGGAGACAGCTCCGGAAAAAGAAAAAAAAAATTAACCGACGATGAACAGTGGGTTCACCGGAAAAAAAAATTCAAAGTTCCTTAGGCTCTTGATACCATGTTAAATAACAAGAGAAAAGAGAGGAACATTTGAAATATTTCTGTGTGTATTGACTGATGAATACTGTACAATATATAAACAGACTAATGGGCTAAGCTCAAACCTAATGTAATCTGACTTAATACAAAATAAGGAAACCCTAATTACAAAATAAGGAAACCCTAATTACAATATATTTCTAACAGGGTGAAATGGTTGTTTATCAGAGTTGATACTTTATAGTTAGTTTCTTTGCTACTTGCTAGTAATAATTTTACTTGTAGTTTTGTTAGATAAGTTTGTTTCCAAGATGTTAAAGGAATGGTTTGTTGTTATATGTACTTACGCATTTTAGAATTTTACGTATTAAGTTTTATTTATCTGTGCAGAAAATTTTAGAGAAAAATGATGCCGGACACCATTTCCCACTTTATGCTGTCTGCTTAGGTTTCGAACTTCTATCAATGATCGTAAGCAAGGTGAGTTAGCTTTCTTATGGTTGTATAGTATCACTTGTGACTTTGTAAAATTCCTTTTCCCTAGAGGAAAAGTCTGCAGATAAGTCAGATACTTGCCTACTGACCAGGGTACTTTACTAATTAATTTTTCTGCTGAATTTGCTTCAAGTTAGTACAGTTTATTTGAATTCTTATTATGTTGCCTGGTGCTGTGAACATTGATGTTCATATTTTCTCTTGGATTCCAAATTCACAGCTTGTGACAGTAGAAAAATTAGCCATTATATTCTTTTCTTTGCATCTATGTTGAACATTTGGATCGATATTCATGAAATGTTGAGAAAAGTCGAAGATTTCTCATTTCTGACGGTAAATTCCATTTGTCTTCTTTTTTGTGCTTTTACAAGTTTGGCTCTCTTTTTTTCTTTTCTTGATAATAGGACAATAATATTCTTGAAGATTTTAGTGCACTTAATCAGGCAAGAACTCTTCAATTTGTGGAGAATGCAAGTATTGAAGGAACTGTATTTCAAAGGTAAACTATCTATGTTAATAGTATTTTTCTGATGTAACACTTGATCCCTTAATGGACATTTGATGAAGTTGGAAGCTGGGCTTTGAACTTAAATTGTTATTTCTCTCCCATTTAACAGATAGGGAGAGGGATTGAACAACTTTGTTCCATTGACGTTTTCCCCTACCATGATATTTGTGTATCGGAAATTTTAATAATCGGAAAGTGTTAAATTTATAGGCTCTTTAACAATTTGTCTCAGTGTTTGACGTGCAAGTTATTAATCACTTCTTTCCCTCCACCAGATTTCCTCCAGACTTGTTAAAGAAGTTGAACACAGATTGTCTTGTCATGCAAAATCATCGTGTGAGTATATATGGTTAATGAATTATTCTTCTGCGTGAGGCTTTTACTGATTTTCACAATTTGACTGGACAAATTGTCGTCCATTAGAGTAGTTAGCTGCAGCATGAGGTTACCTTTAAATTGATCCTGTTTTATAAATCTACGACATATTTTTTGACCAAGTCTATGATGTTGTGTTGTAAATATTATTATTATTTATTTATTTGTTATTTGTTGTATTGGGCTTAGCCCATTAGGTCAAGTATTCTAGGTCTTGTATTCTCTATAAATAGAGAACCCTTTTGTACAAATGAATTACAATTTAATAATATATCAGAATACCCTTTTTCAAGTTGGTATCAGAGCTCTCGATCTGAGGGCTCTGCTTCCACGCCTATTTGCCTTTAGAGCAAAAACTCTGATCCCTTTGCCTCTTGCTGCCATCAGCCGCCACTGGAAATTTTTTTCCAGGGACCTTTTGGACCAAGAGGACTACTGTTCACCGTTATTTTCTTCGATTACAGCCGCGAACACCGATTACACACTGTTTCTCAGCCGCAAACAGATCTGTCATCGCGTCTGGACCACTTTCCGGTGATTTTTCAACTGCGACCACCCACAGACAGGTGCGCGCTCGCAGGACGACCACCGTGCAAAAATTTTAGCCGGAGAAGACAGCCCACGCGCTCTCACGCGCCGCCCAAACTCTAGCGCGTGAAGCCCACGCGCAGCCAACTCCACCGGCGCGTGGAGGCGCGTGCAACCTTATTTTGGCCTCGGACCACCGCCATTCTTCTCGTCTCCTTGTTCTCTGTCTGGATCTATGGTTGTTTTTCTGATCGGAGTTCATTTGCTATTATGTTTGGTTGATTTTACTGCTATTTGTTAACTTTTTTAGTGCAGTATGGCCGAGAATGACAATGAGTCAACTGTTTCATAGACTACACAGTCTGGTGATACCCCACTTGGCCACAATGATCTTCCCAATCTACATCAGAGCTATCGTCTTGATGGATCACACTACTTGTCATGGTCCCAGCTTATTCGCACTACCATCAAGAGTCGCAATAAGATTGCTCATCTTGATGGCCTTGCTCCTGCGAAAAGTGACCCGAAGTTTGTTGTTTGGGATAATGAAGATTCCTTTATCATGACTTGGTTATGGAACTCGATGACTCCTGAAGTAGGTCGTCACTGTATGTTTCTGTCTTCTGCTCAGGAGATTTGGAACACTGTTCGTTCAACTTATTCCTTGAAACAGGATATGGCTGTGCGCTATGAATTGCGCAATAAAATATTTTCTATGAAACAAGACTCCTCATCAGTGACTGCTTACTATGGTACTTTGAAGGAGTTGTGGACTGAACTTGATCAATTTCAGAGTTTGAAGATGCAATGTACTGCAGATGCTACTGCTTTAGCCAAGGAGGTGGAAAATGAGCGTATTTTTGATTTTCTTGCTAGTTTGAATCCCGAGTATGATCCTATTCGGGTTCAAATACTTGGCAAAGAGACTTTTCCATCCCTTTCTGCTGTTTTCAATACTGTTCGGGGGGAGGAAAGTCGTCAGGGAGTTATGATGAACTCTGATAAATCTGCCATGTTGTCATCACATGATGGTGCTGCCTCTAAACCCACTGATGGGTCTGCTATGATTTCTACAAAAAAGGATGGCTCTTCTCAAGGGAATTCTTTTACAAAATTTTCTGATGGTGCATCTTCTAGACCCAAGAAAGATGATCGCTGGTGTTCTTACTGTAGAAGAACCGGTCACATCAAGGACCTATGCTTTCGTCTCCATGGAAAGCAAAATGTCTTAGAAAAGATGGCAAGGAAGCGTGGTCAAGCGCATTTTACTTCTTCTGATATAGCTCCTGCACCTAATGAGACCCAACCTGCATTTCGTCAAGATGAGTTAGAACGACTCCGGACCATACTTGATTCTCTGAGTAAGCCATCTGGTACTAGTGATTTGGCTATGACTGGTATGAGCTCCAATATTTATTCTTTTCTTACTTCATGTATTGATTTTAACCATTCATGGGTTGTTGATTCTGGTGCTACTGATCATATGGCTTGTTGTGCTGACTCCTTTGTTTCTTATAACCCTACCATTTGCACTCATACAATAGCCGTAGCTGATGGCTCACATACATCAGTTGCGGGTTCTGGTAATATAAAATTACAGCCTTCCTTACATCTCAAAGATGCTCTTCATGTCCCTAAACTCTCTACTAATCTTCTTTCTATTCATAAAATCACAAAAGATTTGAATTGCACTGTAACCTTCTTCCCTACTCACTGTGTTTTTCAGGAACTCGCCACGGGGAAGACGATTGGGGGTGCTAAAGAGCAAGGTGGGCTGTACTATCTGGTGTCACAATCTCCCACAACTAATGTTAAGGATCACATCTTGCTGTCACATGGCCAGTCAACTGCTGATTCTCTGATTTGGCTTCATCATAAGCGCTTGGGACATCTTCCGTTTAGTTTACTCAAGTCTTTATTTCCGTCTTTGTTTTTGTCTAAGTCTGTTGAGTCTTTTCACTGTGATGTTTGTGAGTTTGCTAAGCATCATCGTGTATTTTTTCCTTCGAGTATTACTAAAAGTGTTGAACCTTTTGATCTTATTCATTCTGATGTTTGGGGTCCTTCTAAGGTCCCTCATTCTTCTAGTAATAAATGGTTTGTTTCTTTTATTGATGATTGCACTCGTGTAACTTGGGTTTACTTAATGCGTGAAAAGTCTGAGGTACCACAACTGTTCTTTCAATTTTATAAAATGGTTGAGACCTAATTTGGTAAAAAAATCAAAAGACTAAGGACAGATAATGGTACTGAATATGTTAATCACTATTTTTCCCAATTTATACGAAGTCAAGGTATGATTCATGAACTTACTTGTGTAGACACCCCTCAACAAAATGGGGTTGCTGAAAGAAAGAATCGTCACCTTCTTGAAGTTGCTCGTGCCTTACTGTTTTAAACACATGTACCCAAATGCTATTGGGGAGATGCCATTCTTACTGCAGCGTTCTTGATCAACCGTCTACCCACTCGGGTTCTTGATAATGTAAGTCCTATTCACTCAATGACTTCTTTTTTTCCTTCTGTTCCAACTTTGCAAAGTCTTCCTCCTCGAGTGTTTGGGTGTGTTGTCTTTGTTCATGTTCATAAACAGCATCGCAGTAAGTTAGATCCTAGGGCTCTTAAATGTGTTTTCCTTGGTTATGCTTCTGATAAGAAGGGCTACAAGTGCTATCACCCTAGCAGTTGGAAATTTTTTGTTTCTATGGATGTTACGTTTTAGGAATCTGAGCCTTTTTTCAAAGATCCACATCTTCAGGGGGAGAATAATTCACCAGAAAACTCATCACCTTCCTTCTTTGAGTTTGAATCTTCAGTGTCTACTCCTTCACCTCTTCCTCTTGTTTCGGTTCCTTCTGTGTCTGTGTCTGATTCTCCTGTGACTGATCCATCAAGTACACCAGAGATACGGAAGATTGTGACACCTGAGCTGGTATATCATAGAAGGAAACAACCCACATTGCCTCACCAGCAACCTCAATCGTCTGAACCACTGGTAAGTCCTGAATCTCATATTTCTGATCATGATATTAATACTTCTGATGACTTACCCATTACTACTGATTCTGATGATTTACCCATTGCCCTAAGAAAAGGAAAAAGATCTTGTTCCAAGAAATCTTGTTCCTCCTGTCCCTCTTGTACTCAATACCCTATCTCCCATTTTGTTTCCTCTACTAATCTTTCTGTGCAGCACAAAAGTTTTGTTTCAACACTAGATTCTATTTTAACCCCAAAATCAGTACATGAAGCTTTGAAAGATGGAAATTGGGCTCAAGCCATGCAAGAGGAGATGAATGTGTTGGAGAAAAATAAAACATGGGAGGTTATTGATAGACCCAACGGAAAGAAAGCAGTAGGGTGCAGATGGGTTTATGCCCTGAAGTATAATTCTGATGGCACTCTTGAGAGATATAAGGCTCGATTAGTCGCCAAAGGTTACACTCAGACCTATGGCATTGATTATGAAGAAATCTTTGCTCCAGTTGCAAGATGAATACGGTGAGAGTATTGTTATCCCGTGCTGCCCATTACAATTGGGATATAAATCAATTTGATGTGAAGAATGCATTCCTCAATGGTGAGTTAGAAGAAGTCTACATGAAAATCTCGCCTGGTTTTGATTCTGTGAATGGAGAAAATAAAGTTTGTAGATTAAAAAAGGTCTTGTATGGATTGAAGCAGTTACCTCGTGCCTGGTTTGGAAGGTTTACTAAGGTTATGATGACCTTAGGATACAGACAGAGTCAAGGAGATCACACTCTTTTCTTCAAGCACTCCCAAAATGGGAAGCTTACTGTGCTCCTTGTATATGTTGATGATATTATTATCACAGGTGATGATTTTGTGGAGAGACATATTCTGCAAACACGGCTTGCCTCTGAGTTTGAAGTCAAAGACCTTGGGAAACTGAGATATTCCCTAGGGATAGAGGTAGCTCATTCAAGCAAAGGAATTTTTATCAGCTCGGGTGTAAACCCTCTAATACTCCTATTGAGCAGAATCACAAGATAGGCTATGAAGAGGAAAGTCCTCCAGTTGATAAAGGTCAATATCAACGGCTAGTTGGGAAATTGATATATCTGGCTCATACTAGACCAGAACTAGCTTATGCTGTTAGTGTTGTCAGTCAGTTTATGCATGATCCAAAAGAGAAACACATGCAGGCAGTGGAGAGAATTCTTCAGTATCTTAAAGCTACTCCTGGTAAAGGACTGTTATTCCGGCAAGATGGAAATCTCTCTTTAGAAGTCTACACTGATGCTGATTATGCTGGATCTGTGACGGACCGTCGTTCTACCACTGGTTATTGTATGTTTCTTTGTAGTAACTTGGTGACGTGGAGAAGTAAGCAACAAGATGTGGTTGCCAGATCAAGTGCAAAGGCTGAATTTCGAGCCATGGCTCAAGGCATTTGTGAGTTACTGTGGCTGAAAATTATACTTGATGATCTCAAAATAAAATGTGAGGGACCAATGAAGCTGCTATGTGATAATAAGTCAGCTATTTGTATAGCTCATAATCCGGTTCAACATGATCGGACTAAACATATTGAGGTCGACCGTCATTTCATCAAAGAGAAACTTGATAGCGGGTTGATTACCACACCCTACATTCCCACTGGGCGTCAATTAGCTGATGTATTGACAAAGGGACTTCCTTCAGATAGATTTCAAGAGCTTACTAGCAAGCTGGGAATGATAAATATCTATTCCTCAGCTTGAGGGGGAGTGTTGTAAATATTATTATTATTTATTATTTGTTATTTGTTGTATTGGGCTTAGCCCATTAGGTCAAGTATTTTAGGTCTTGTATTCTTTATAAATAGAGAACCCTTTTGTACAGATGAATTACAATTTAATAATATATCAGAATACCCTTTTTCAAGTTGTTGGTGCTGTTAAACCACTGAATATGAGTCATTGGGTCAACTGGATGGTTTTGATGGCCTGGTATATATATTTCTGGGCCATCTCAGGCAAGCTCAGCTATGGCGCCATCACCTACTCCAGGCATCAAGTTCCATTATCTGATACCTTTGGGGAAGAAATTGAAGCAGGCTGGTGCAAGTCTATTTAAGATTTGGGGCCTCAAAGGAATGATGCTGATGGCTGTTACCACCTATATTGATTTTTGTCCTAATAAAAGTGATTATTGTAATGATGGAGGTGAGGGTGGTGTTTTCTTTGAGAAGAAGAATGTGAAGACTGAAAATTGGGGTGATGATAGATGGCAGTGCACATTGAGAGAAGACAATGGAGCATCAGTTTTGTCATCTATTTTTTCACTGAAGATAAAAATGTTCATGTAAATCACAATCGTCTATCTAATCCTATGGCCCTTAGTCAAGGGTGCACTTTCAGGGTGTGTTGCAGCACAGATTTCGCCATATTTTTTAATTTTACAGTCAAAGATTTACCCATTGAACTAGTGATATGAAACTGGATAATAGTGTTCAAGCGTTTAAATTTTTATTCAATATTCAAAATGCTTGAATTTTGATATACTATTGAATTTCATCTGATATACATTTGAATTTCAGTAATATATATTTTTATCTGATTTTGGACATAACAGTATGGCATATCCCCGAGAAAGCTTCTGGATAACCAGAAGTTATCTAGTTTTTTCGAGATCTTGACAACTTGCAAGGATGAAGATGATAAGGTATTCGATGTTATTGTCTCTTAAAAAGTGATACTGGTTTTCAAATCCATTTTTTGTTATATTCATAACCTGTAAACAGCTTCCTTCATGAAGAAATCTAATAGCATTAGTAATTGTTTTAGGTTTATGTTTCCACAGTACGTTCTCGAAACTATCCTGTGACTGGCTTCCAATGGCATCCAGAGGTGATTAATAAATTCTCAGTGCACGTTGGGTTGCATTATTGTGAATTTCAATTCCAAGATACTATTTAATTAAGTTCATAGAGTACTACGGTCTTGCACGGCTTTTAGTTCATTATTATTTCAGCTATGTAAACATCCTTTATAAATGATGCCACAGAAAAACGCCTTTGAATGGGGCTCATCAAGAATTCCCCACACGGAGGATGCAATTCAGATAACTCAGTATGTTGCAAATTTTTTGGTCAGGTAAGAACTCAGAATTTGAAATTATCTTCATCAGCTATATCCTACTCCTGCATTATAACTGGTAGATTGTTCTCAGAAGCCTTCAGGCTATAAATATAGTTTCTTGACTGAGCTATCCAGAGTAATTGCCAGTGCAATGAAAACAAAAAAAGATGGAATTTATGTTTACTGTATACAATGATGTGAAGTATTATTGACTTAGTAACTAACCCATTTTAATGGAGTGAAAGTTGTCATGATTACCCTTTAATACTCTCCTTACCCAAATTGCTACGTAATTGTGAATCCAAATAAGGTTCAGAAAAACGTCTTTAAAACACGGCTTTATTTACTATGTCTTCACGTACTAATCAATGGCTAACATAACTTTTTGCCTCTTTCACTTATACGAACTCCAGTGAAGCTAGGAAATCCTTAAACAGACCAGATGCTCAAGAATTGCGAGACAGTCTCATTTACAATTACATTCCCACTTATGGCGGGAAGGCTGGGTAAGCCCAACATGTCTTTACGACTTTGACATTAATTTGTTTTGCACGTTAAGTTACTGATTTTGATGTTTATGGCTTTATGCTGCTTGTAGGAAAGGATATGATGAAGTCTATATATTCGAGTAAGTCTAAATGCAGGAGAAACCAACCGATAATGATAGTGCATAAGAGTCATTATGACTAAACGTTGTATACCCGAGTAAATGTCATTGTTGTTATGCACAACAATGACAGTAAGATGCTTAATATTGTACCAAAAGCTATGCTTATTTGTGAGTTGTATCATGTTGTTGTCCTGTCTTTGCCCTTTGCTTCTGCTAGAGTTCCAATATTGTAAGCTGTTTATCTGCAGAAAATAGGTAACTTTGTATTACAGTGATGTATATTTTAGGACTATTTGCTGTTGAAGATGACTTTTTCCATGTAACTTTTTTGATTATTTCTATCTGAGGCCATGAAAACCAATAATATTACCCACCAACGAAAAACTAATTTAGTTTAATCTAAGATTATGAATTTCAACCGGACAGTTAATATCTGTGATTAATATAGTATTAATTCGTGTAACTTTCGTAGAGAGAGAGAGAGAGGTTTCTTTGATTATAATTGAGCCATTAAAACATATTCCTCAGCCAATTTATTTAAAGGACGGCTTCGGTATTTCATTAATAAAAAAAAAGAGTAAATATTCTTTTTGGTCTTCGGCAAATTTCACGATGCTCTCTTTAGTTCCTAACAAATAAAAAGGTCCATCATGGTCCTTAAGAAATTCAAAATAGATCCATTTTAGTCCTTTTAGGGACTTATATGGATTTTTTTTGAATTTGTGATGGACCACGATTTCAACTAAATGAGTCCATTTTAAATTTCTTAGGGATCACGATGGGCTTTTTTATTTGCTAGGGATTAAAACGGGAATATGAAATTTGCTGAGGACCAAAAAAAGTATTTACTCAAAAAAAAATATGAAGAAAGTTTCGTATTACTTATTTTCAAATTATCATTTTTTTAAAAATAATGAAGAGAATTAAATACATAATCTAATATAAATTATCCAAATCCTCCCTCACTAAACAAATTCTAGTGGCTTCAAATTATAAATTTTTATACTTACAAAGGAATAAGAAAATAAACTCATAGGATAAAAAAAACTCATAAAATTTACATACTTTTTATTGTTTAATTTATGATTTATATTAGTCAGTCTACAAGTTTACAAAATTAGTACGGTCTCTTTTGAAGGAATACTTTTACTTTTTGGAACCTTAGCCACAAACTAAACTTCACTGAATGATGAATGATTTATTGAAGTCAAATCAAAAGTTAAATACAAAATTAAATTGTTTTTCTTACATATATTAATTCAAAAATATATTCTCTTAAAACTAACTCAATTTGTTAATTTATTTTTTAATAGTAACACATTGTTTTTTATTTTAAATTTAAATTCTTTTTCTTCAATTATGTATATTTTCTCGATAACTTTAAATTATTTTTGTAATTTACATTTCTTAAATTATATCTAAATTAATCATACATACCTTTTTTTTGTTAATATTTTATAAATTTGCGTGAATTTAAAAATTCCGGGCCCATTATAGTAGCTAGCTAGATGCAAATAAAGCCACAGCTAATGAGTGATCTCTTTCCCCCCAAAGACAAAAGTGGATGAACATTGGCGGGAAAACGAATCGGAGGGAAACTGTAACAAGAAAACCCTAACCCTCCATTGCTCATTGTTCTGTTCCAATGGCGCAAACCGAAACCCTAACGCTCCTTCACGAGATCGAATCTCTCGTCTCCGATAAACTTCAAGTGGTATCTCACTCTCTCTCTCTCTTCCTCCATTTTATTTTACCCTTATTATTAACAAATATTTTTCGTTTTACTTATGCAACTCAACCTTACGATTTACTGTGATTTTTAGTTTTTGAATGTCCGAGGGATTTTGTTAAATTGTCCCTCCTTTTTCCCTAATTCCTTTCATTTGATGGCAAGTAATTGAATTCATACGGTGTCGCATCTACTTATTTATTTTTTTAGGTTTCATACAAGTGGCTGAGTCGCAGTTATATGGTATCATCCGATGAAGCAAAGAGGTGGGTTTTTTTATTTTTAGTTTTTTTAATTGGGTGAAAAGATTTACCTCGTAGAAGACTAGATGTGCTGTTTATTTATTTTTGTGTTGTTATTTTATGAGCAGTTGCAAATTTTGTTATATGTAGGTTGCTTCAGGAGTTTGTTCAACAACATGATAGTGGGTTGGAGGTTGTGTATGCTTTGTCTGGCTGGTTAAAGAACAGCCATCCTTGTTACCACATAAGGCTAGTTCCAGGGCCAAAGCTTGCAGGTACTAGGATCTTTTTTAAATAATAATAATAAAATTGGTTATTCTAGAGTGTTTTACTTACTGTTATTTTGTCTACATATATGAATTTGCGAGAATATGAGAAGATGAAAATTCAAATTTAACTTTCCCATAATGGAAAATCGTTTACTGCTGTACCCTTGTGTTAAGGTAGTTTCATTTTAGTGATTATATTCTCTTGCTCTGATCTTAAACTCTAATCGTATAAACCTGGCTCACTTGATTTATAGTTTTGTCACTGTTTAGTTTATGATTGTTTATTTAATTTAAAGGTATCAGGCTTTCTGGGCCAGGCTTAAAACAAACATAACTGGTGGATGTCCTTTTTTCAAGTGGTTGTCATTTAGTATCTGATTTAACAGAACCTGAATTGATTTATGTTTCAGTAATCATTTCTGTCTCTATTGGAAGAACTGCTTATCAAGAACTTTCATTAGTCGTATAGTGTGCTTAATGTGTTCAGTTTACACTTTGAGAAACATTGATGGTGAATGGCTTTTGAGAAAATTTTGCCTGTCATTCTATGATATGGAGTGGCTAACAAACATTAGGAAGTAGGAGTAACATTAATCCGTTTCTCACATTGTTATGCAGAAGCACAACAGGAATTTGATGGGAATTGCTCAGTTCAGGTATATAGTGTGCAAGCTAGTATCCCAAAGGATCCAGCTGTGCTTTGGAATGCAGAATTCATTCAAGCAGAGGAACTCTTCAAGCAGCCCTCCTCAATTGACAATTGCTTGAGAGATAATAGGTGGGCTCCATGCATGTCTTTAGAATATCTATCCATATTGTATATATGCATTTGGTTTGGTCATGTGATGGCAGATAGACAGAGTGAAAGTATTAATTTGTCTAGAGCTTGTTATTGATTTCAGTCCATTTGCTATTTTCATTTAATATTTTACATTTGTATATATGCATATTAACACGAAGACGTAATTTTATGTCATTTTTAGGTCAATTGAAGGAACTGTGTATGTTGTACAGTAATAGTATGTACTATAGAACTTCTAATAGATTTGTTTACTGAATCACATTATGATCTTCTAGTTTAGATAGGTTGCCCGGTCCTTGTTTTCAGAATTAGTGATATTAGTAATCTTGTTTACAGCAATTAAGTTGGCCCATTCTTAGATCTCAATCTGCTGACAGGTCCTGTTTACTATTGCAACATACTTTTTTCTTAGCTGAAAGATTTAATTTCTAGAATCTCTTCATTAGTGAAGAATGTAGTCAATGAAATCTCACTCTTCTCTCTAAACAGACATGCATGCATGAATGTCATTTACTAGTCCTGATATGTGATATGATGTTTTCATTACTATGTGGAGATATATTTGGGGTTTTTGTGGTGGCTGATCCCCATACTTTTCAGGTTCTGTGGGATCTCTAATTCTTTTGTACGGAGGAATGTGGATGGCCCACCTGTAGTTTCTGCTGCTCCACAGATAGAATCTGAAGTAGGTGCGGGACAAACAAAGAGTAACATAGTTCACCAACCTCCCCAAAATACAGCACGTGGTTCTATTGCCAAAGTTGATCTAAAATCACAGAATGTGGTGAAAGTTGTCAAGAGTGAAAGCAATGGTACAGGGAATACAGGAGTTCATGATAACATCAACAAACCTACTGCAGACAAAGAAAATGCCCTTCCCTTGCCCACAGGCAAAAAGAAAGTCCAAGCTCATAAAAGTGGTTCTGTTACTGGAGGTTCATTGGCAAGCTTTTGGGGTCATGCATCTGCAAAACTCAAGCCTTGCTCCCTGCCAGCAGAAAATAATAACTCAGTTTCAAATCCTGCTGGTTGGTTTCCATGGCAGCTTATTCCATTTGCTTTGTTTTAGATTTTCAGATTTTTCATGGTGATTGTAATAGTAATAGTAATATAACAATGTATCTCCAATAAATCTATTGACTCTTAATTCAATCTCTCAGTAGCTACTGAAGATGCCCAAACTTATGCTCGCAAAGCAGTAGAGGTTGACAGTGGTGATGATGATAATCAGGATATTACCTTGAGAAGATCATCCAATAGGAAAAGGAGGGTTGTCTTTGATTTCTCAGATGAAGATGAAGATGCCATCAATTTAGCATCACCTGATTTGCCAAATAAACAATCTTCTCAAGATCCAAAACAAAATGACAAAAAATCACCTGAGAAAGCCACTTTGAATTTTGACTTGCAGATAGAAAATAAATCAAGGGTTAAGGAAGAGAGAGCAACTGACCAAAAAGCTCACCAACCACTGGGAGAAGATTTATCAGCTATCAGCAAGTGCACAAGTACTGGGAAATCATCTACTGATAAGTTCCAGAGTTGTGCTCCTGAAATTTGTATAAATAAGGATAGTGCAAAGAATGCCGCTCCAGGTTCACCTAAGAGGAGAAAAGTGATGAAGACCAGGATTGATGAACGGGGGAGAGAAGGTACTTACATTATTAAATGCATTATTTTCACTCAGCAGCTTCTTCGTTCCCTTATACCATACAAGCTAACTTTGGGACTTCTATTTTGAACATAGTTTTTAATGAAACATCAACGCTTCACTTGTACTTGCATGATTTTGGGGTGAACTATATCAAAATGTTCAGTGAATCTTATTAACCATGAGTTCTTTTATATTATATGTTTGTATTTTTTTCTTATTTTTGTTTTATTCTTCTCTCCAGTAACTGAAGTAGTCTGGGAGGGGGAGGAGACAGAAGCAAAGAAAGCTGATAAGGTTACAACAAAGAAAGCTGACAATAATGCATCTACCATTGCTGTCAACAGGTTAGCGATACTCTTCCTTATCCTTCATGCATTTGAACTGAATCACTGGAAACAGCCAATACTTCAAAGGTTGAATGACACCTTGTTAGTTGTCACATGAAGCATAGGTGCCTCGTTAGTTTTCTTTGCAACTTGCAAAGTATTTCTAAAGTTGCTTCGAGGTCTTTTTGACAGAAAAAATCTTGATTTCATGATATTGAAACATGCACTCAGTTCGTTTGAACTAAAGCAAAATATTGCTGAAATTTGTGGGTCGAAACTAGTGCAGCCAAGGTACTTAACAATTTTAAGCTTTGTGCTTGTTGTTTAATGATCCCATGTATTCAGAAGAAGCAAATTGCTATGACTTGAAGATTTTGATTTTGAATTATGGAACCTATTTAAGAAGACACTTAATTGTCTGGTTTTGGCCTTAGTTTTCAGTTTTGCAAAACAGTTTTTTAAAGCAGAATATAAACATTTTTACAAAACAAAAACATGAGTAAACTTTGTTTGGATTTTGGTATCTCACATAGTTTTGGAAGGTAAAACACAAAATTATTGTATAATTCAAAATACATTTCCTTGACCTTGTTCTAGGTTCTCCAAAACTTGAGTACAAAAAATAAAAAGGTTCACTAGGAATATGGCCATTGGCCTGTGTTGGAACAGCAGCCTATACATTCCGATTGTAGTTTTACTTACCTAGGAAATTCCCATTAATGAAATAGCACAGTCCAAGTCATTTACAAAGTTGCCGGCAGTCATGAACAGTAAATAGAGCGTTTTGAGAACAAGAGTAAGACATTGAGAAATGTTATTTTTTTGGGTTTGAAACAGTTTTTAAAGACAGATAAAACATATAATACCAAACATGCTTTTAAAAGCCAAACAAACTGCTTCGGGAACAGGAATCAAACGGGCAACATAATTTTACCCTGATATGAGCAATTCAAGGATATAAGCACTTCACTGGTCATTCTTAGCAGATGATTGTCCATTCTGGCTAGCAAGACATTTTTTATCTCTAAAGCTTGTAGACTTCCCTTACCCTTAATCTGGTTTTTCCAATTTTTTTATTTATCAAAAGATTACTGCTTTGTTACGATGTTTAAGCTTGATAATCATGACTAACTTTATTCATTGCAATTCCAGTGCTCCAGCAACTAAGAAGCCACCAGCTACATCAAATACCATTTCTGTTCCCGCTAGAAAAGGAGGAAGCAAGAAAGCAAAAAACTTAAATGATCCTAAACAGGGCAATATTCTTTCATTTTTCAAGAAAGTTTGAGATCTTCACAAATTACTATGTTCAAGAGACGAACTTTTCAGCAGGATCATTCATCAATACTAGTCCCTTTCAGCACTGAGGATTTTGCATTATGTAGATCTGGCTCTCTTTTAGTTGGGGATTTCACTGGAATCTGGATGCAGGATAGTTGAAAGACCTTGTGTTTTCCTTACGCACGTTATTGCTAATATAATATTACTTTCGTGCTGTTCTTGCCTGAAATAGCATAGTTCTAGTACAGGTCACTGCACAACGAATCACAAAGTGTAAAATAAGTTGAAAAACAACAATATAATTTTTGATAGAATAAAGTTTAGATGTAGTATCATATACGTATTTAGGGTTTGAATCGATGTTCTTTCTTAGAAGTACATTTCATTTAGTCCAAATTGCGAGGAAATAATTGTTTCTCAATTGTTTTTTAATACATATATAAAACTCGAATTTCAGATAATATAATTTGTACACCAATCCAACTACTTGTTTACATTAATTCACTAAGTTTTTTTGTTTATAAAATCAATTATATAAAAGAGCTGGTCATCCACTTGCTAAACTAGCCTGATAGAGTCCCTCGCACAAATAACTGTCAAGAGTCAACCTTACCAGTTCTTGCATACGTGCATTTCAATTCAATATAGCAAAAAAATAAAATATTAAGTAAGTTTTTTTCGATCCAAAATGACTTGCATTGTAGTCAATTTTTTAAGTATATCTGACCAAGAAAGAAGTTCACATCTGGAAAAGTTGTCCAATAAGTGTTTTTTCACGAACAAATATAAAATCAATGTTAAGTAATTGCCGTATTGGACTTCACTCATCTGGGATGGAAAATACATAGTGTAATGGAGTTTGTATTTACCAAAGAAGAGGGGTACTTGTTATCTATTGATACAGAACAGACATAATTTTTGTTCAATTGATTGAGGAAACATAAAGGAAGATGTCGTAGGTGAGTACAGATGGAAAGGAAAAAAGAGTTGCTACCCTATGCAAGTTACCAAATCAATGAGGTAACAATATACATGATTTACAATCTGATTCCCATGAATGTTACTATTTATACTTTGTCATCAATTGTCCTGAATCAGGTTAGTTGGCTCACTCAAGACATACTTGGGTAGCTCATACTTTGCTCCTGCAAAACAAGTATTGCAGCAAGAATCAGTACAAGAAAAACATTGATGGATTCTAGCCCCATAATAATGAACACAAGGTGCAGTACTACAAATTGTGAGCGTTGATTTTCATGAACCAAGTCTAGTATTTCTAATAATTTCCAATAAAGTTTGCTCCACTATTTTTCACTATCACAGTATCTCACACTAACTTAGTGTTCAACTTTTTTACTGCACTTCTCCGGCACTATACCGTTCAAAAGCAAGTTTGAAGTTTGTAAATGAATCTAATAGACTACAAGGGTGTTCTCTTAGAAAGGTTTATTTTTTTGGGTAATAAATTAAGAATGAGAGATGTTAAAGAAAGTGTTTTGATTGTGAAAGACATGCTTCTGTGGTTGGGACAGCTGGGGTGAGAAAGGTGATGGTGGGGCTACAGAGCTTTCTGCAACAACAGTATAATGTATTCCACCATAGTCCACAATAAAGGTGGGTGTCACATGATAAGACTAGGTCTGGACCACAGTTGCATAATTAAATGGAAAAGTATAGTAGTGCTGCTGGAAGTCCACATGGTGGTTCATGGCATAAAAGTACTTGGATGTTTTTTATTTTAACTTCCAATTTCACACAGTATTAAGAGTTTAAAATCAAAGGAAAATGGAATCAATTGGGTTTTTCAACTTTCGATTAAACACAGTCAGATTATAGAAACCAAATCATATAATATATATCCTATATGTTTTTTTTTCCCTTTTTAATTTTAAATTTTGTTCTAGAATATAGTAAATAACAGAATGCAACACAAACTAGTTACCTCTTTCGTCATAGCATACTGTCAAATCAGAACTCTGGACAATGACCCCAGCACTATCCACAATTGCTTGTGCTAAAGAGAGATCAGCCTCAGCAGCAGCTCGAAGAGCATCCCAAATCTCTAGAATGCAGAAAAAAAAAATGCGCACTTCAATTGACTTAAATTAAAACAATTAAACATGTATTAAGGCAGAAATGAAACAAAACAGAATGATTACCTTGTAAATCTATATAGTAACTTTCTTTTCGGGATGTGAGTTATATTTGTTTAAACATACTATAACTATTGGCATTGCCACTTCATTATTTATGGGACGTATTTGACAAAATAATTTCCTAAAAACTAAATACAATGGTTAATAGCCTGTTTGGTTAAGTTTTTTTTCACCACAAAAGTGAAATTTGGGTCCATGAGACACGTCAATCCAAAGGAAATCAATCCTCCCTTCTTGCCAACATGCCTTGGGAAGCCCAATTTCACTTTTGTGGTGAAAAAAATCTTAACCTCTTGCAATTGATAAATACAAAATAACTTTGATCCCCTTTTCTTATCTCCTAGGGGCTAAATGTTATTTCTATTGTGGATTCTTCTCACAACACCACTCAAACATCAAGTCAAGCAATCATCAGAGCCAATTTGCATTTGTATACGTCCATTCACATATTTCTTGGCTGCCCAGCATTCTATATATAAAGCAAGATAGTTAAAGCCGTGTTATGTTACATATCCCATATATGCATGAGTCACTGGCCATCAAACAGGACTCTTACAAAATTACAGCATTTTCGAATTTTTCCTTCATGTAAATTTATCATCCTTCCTTCCAAAATTAGCTTTAGGCCATTGCATCTGTATGTGTTAATGGTCCTGTTTCATCACTAACATGTTTATTACTATAAAACGCAATAACAAAATATCATCATTATCAGATTCTATATACTTTATAATATTTAAGATTTTTGCTATATGAAGAAGCAGAGCACCAACTTAGAAAAAACCATTCTGTATCTGAGGCATCATGTTTAATAAATGCAAGAATGGATAAAGCCTTTTGCTTATGATTTGCAATGAGAGAGCAAAAACACAAGTTAGAAGGTAGATCATTCCTAAAAAGATGATCCTCTGATCTCGCTCACATTTTTTTCTCTCTCAATTAGTCAACAAGAAAATAAATGACCTTATGCCCAAAAAGTAAAAAGAAAAAGAAAAAAATAGAAAGAATAGAAAGTTCCAGCCAAAAAGAAATTATCGAAAACCTGTCCTAACCCAATATAAAGAACTCCATATTCATCAACCAACAAAGCTCAATCTCTACTACCTCAGCCAGTCATCCACTCCCTTCAAGTTGAAGCTTCCTGTCCAACTTCTTTTTCCAGACAAAAATTCTTCAATCTCATTGCCACATTCATGGCACCATCATATGATAAACAATAATACAGACTCTCCAATTAAGAGGCAGATATTGTCTAGAGCCCCTGAGAAAAATTGTTTTATAAAATGCATTTTCACAAATTTCTTGTTAGTGAAATACCAACCCATAATTCAGGATCAGCTTTCTATGCATTCTCTGACTTAGAATATGAACTAATGGAATTACCAGTTCAGATTGGTATTAGTATTACATGTAAAAGCCTTTGATTATTGTCAATTTACATCTTTAATAATTACCAACCCTATTGTACAACAACCTGGCTATAAAGATAGAGCAATCGTAGAAGATGACCATACATAGAAGACATTTAAATCAGTGAGAAAAATAATCTAAATTAAAGGAATCAAAACATGCAGCAAACTATGGGAAGTGAACTGATTCATACAAAGCAACCGTTTCCACTTAAACTCCTTATCTTCTACGGCAATTTAATCTGCAATAGGCCTTTTTAAGTTCCAAATATGATCATTTATCAAATCGTGATAATACCTTTCCGGCCACCATAGTGAGGGGCTGTGTCCCAAAACTCATCACGCAATTGTATTAGCTGAGTCTTTGTTATTGGCTGAGGATGCTTCCAAGGCTTAGGCTTTCGGATTTTTTTTACCATCCCTGTTAAAAAAGTATCAATTTTATGTTGGTTTAAATGGAAACTGACAATAACTTTAATCTAAAACTTGAGCTTTGTCATCAGGAACAAGCTACTAAGATGATAAACACTTTAGAAACTGTAAGGAACGAAAAAACTAACTGCAAGAATTAGAAATAATGAATCACAACAAAACAGACGAACAACTTAGTCTTAGAGACAGAAAAATAATAATAATAATCTGAAACATGCTATACAATGTGAAAGGAAATAAATAAATAAAATTGACATGCTGCAGCACCTAATTTTACATAAATCATTTGTGCGGTTAAAATTAAAATCATAAGTTTGCAAAGATTTTTTTCCCTTCATGATATTATATCAACAGATATCAATAAACAGCAAATTTGAGGTAAGACTAACAAAAAAAAAGGATCCTGCATGTTGTAATACTCCACCGTGAATGTATCTATGCTTACATGTATCAATGCAAAGATCACAGGGAGAAAGACTTATTGGTAATTGGTGTGCCTTAGAAAGGAAATGGCATTTTCATATAAATGTTGCTACTTCTTATCTTATTTCCAAGATGGACAAAATTGCAAGGAAAATTTTCAGTATCATGCTGATTAGCACTATCTCCTAAAAAACACACACACACACAGAAGAGGAAGCAGAAAGACATCAATCACTTCATAGTGATAACAGATGAATAAGCATGTTCAAAGTAACGAGATATAAGTGTTTTTTTTATCTGGAACTTAACTTTCTTGGTATTTCCACTTTTCTTTTCACTCTTCTTCACTTGTTATAGATCACACAGCTACACATTCAGTTTAGGAGAAAGTGGGAAATAAAAGATTAGGCTTTATTAACAGTCAGGATACCCAGGACTCAAGTGGCATTATCAATAGCATCAAACTTAATATTAGAAGATAAATTCATGAGGAGAAGGATCAACTTACACCATTATAAGAATAACAAGTCTTATACCAAATTTTAACCGCTGATCTACTTGTATCTTAACAGCTCAAATTTATTAGTCACATGAGCTGTTAAATGCAAGCGTAATCAATGACTAAGATTGAGAATGTAACTTATACTGGTATAAAATGATCCTGTGCCAATTCATAAATATACTAGCATAAATTTAAGTTTTTTTGGTTTCTAAAATTCATAATGCTGTTTGTTGGCTTGCTTCATTCTGGTATATTCAAATGTTCCCCCATATCATTGCACATCAACCGAAATCTTAAAGATCCAAACTAAAACTAATAGAAGCAGAGTCCGTTCCAGAAAAATGCCAATAGTTCTCATTCTAAAAAGGTATTAAACTATTTAAATATTTATTTAGCCTTTCCAACTACAAACATCTAAATTTCAGAGCCCATTTCACACGGGAATCAAGAGGAACCAATTTTCATCATCAATTCAATCACTAAAAAACTAAGAGTGTCCCCATTAGAGACTAAATTTTCAAAACTACAAATAAGAAACATAGACCAAGCAAATCAGTTTAACTTAAAAAGAAAATCTCAGCACCATGTAGAGTTTACAACCAAAGACAGCCATTAACAACAACCAAACAGATTAAAAGAATACCGTATAATAAAAATTGTTTGGAAAAATAAACATAAAAAAAAAAAAAAAAAAAACCTCAATGATTACAGAGGGTAGGACTTTCATAATTTCATTCAAAATGTAGTAAAAATCCCAAAAAACAGATTTGTTTGCCCTGTGCCCTATGCACTCAAGTTCTTCCTCTTCAAAATTATACTATCCAGACTCAGTACATAACTATTTAACATGGTCATTCACAATTATAGCCTCAACAGCACCCCAACAAACAAAACCCAGAAAGAACAGATTTTGATCCCAGCCCAACATCAATTTTATGAAGATTTACCAAAACCCAATGCAAACATAAAGCCTAGCTGACATAAAAAAGATAAAGCTGATAGAGAAGGCTCACCATCAGCCTTAGACTGTGAGGATCCAGCACAACCCATTGCAGAAAAACCAGAGCTTGGTAGGAGAAAAGTGAAGAGAGAGAGAGAGAAGTGAAAGGAGCTTCACTGAGATGGCAAGTCAATGACGTAGCACGTTAACCAGGGTGTAATGGGTAATACGTACAGCGTACAAGGTGAACCTTAAAAAAATGTTACACTTTGGATATTACATAATCATATACATCATTAGATCGTGAAATCTAACACAATCAATTTTCAAGTTTAATTCTATATAAGTAATTAAAATGATTTTTTTTTTAATTTAGACTTTATTTTTGTTAGAGAAATATATAAATAATTGATGAGTCTTCACTTAATAGTTTAAATTTTTGAATTAAATTAATTATTTATTTGATATTAGAGCTTCAGTAATTACAACGTTACAAATTCAATCCTCACGTAGCAATCTTAATTATTTTTCTAAAATTAAATAATTAAAACGATCTCTGCCACCTTAAGACGTGTCTCACGGATCAAGGCAACCTCTTTGATCGGCCAAATGAATGTTGCTCCTTTAGTTAAATTGATTTGTTTTTATCCGGCTCAAATATCTAATATACTAGAATCATTAAATATAAATAGGATTAATGATTAAAATTAAGAATGTAATTTATATTAATATAAAACGATCATTACCCCTAAATGTGTTTTAGTTTAAGGGTGAGGTTATACACTTATTATACTTACAACTTCTCTTATAATCATCAGATGAAATTAAATCAACGAATGTTATTTGATACAAAAAAAAATCTCTCTTCAAGAGTTCAACCACTTCTCTCACTTTCTTTTTTATTTTCTTTCTTCTATCATATTTTGATGAACACTGTCCAAGCAGTTATAAACAAGGTAATAAGAGCTGATAAATTTTTTATTTTTATTTTTGTAATCTAAGGGGGTTAGAAAACAACACTCCAAAGAGATCAATTCAACAAAATCCTTCTGAAATTACAAATCAAAGACAAATCAGTCCAATACAAAGGCCAAATACTATGGGGAAGGTTTGAAAAAACACACAAATTATTCTCAACAGGATAATCTAAAGGAAATTTAGAAAGTCAATCTGCACAACTATTTTCTTCTCTAAAAACATGAACCAATTGAACTTCCTAATTCTTTTGTAACCATGTTCGAATCTGAGTCACTAAATGGGACTCTCGAGCTGCTCTTTCATTCCGGGAGAGCAAAGTGATAACTGAGTTTGAATCACTTTCTAGGATACAGCGTCTCCAACCTCTAGGCCAAGCAAATTCAATATCCTTGAGAACGCCTCATAATTCCGCAATAAAGGCTGAACAGTGACAATATAATAAGCAAATCCGTCTTTCCAATAACCATATTCATCTCCTATAATTCCTCCACAAGCAGCACCCCTACCATCACTTATGGCTGCACGATCCGTGTTTAATTTCACCCAACCTGTATCTGGAGGTAACCATCTAATAGGAACAATAGTATAATTGGTGGTAAGCTTTGTTCCATCATTAGTTATCCAGGCTTGTGAATATCTATGAACCAGATTTTCCACGGACTGCACCTTATAAGCTTTCCAATTATTTTCCACACCATGGACCTGATTGTTTCTCCACTGCCAAGCTAACCAAACGGTAACAACAAAAACCAACGAATAAGGGGCATCAAAGCATAAAATAGATACATTTTGAATATTCAAAAACAGCCATGGATCTAAATCAGTATCAAAAAAATCAATTACCACATTTGGCCTCAAAAAATTAGTCCAAACTTTTTTTAATTTTGGGACAGTCACGGGCCATATGAATAATATATTCATCCTGGAGATTACAAATAGGACAGTAAGGGGGACACAAGTTGAAATTAGCCAGAAAGCTCCTGGTTGTGAGACGATGGTGAGCAGTCTTCCAAAGGAACAAACTTATACGATTTGGCCCTTTTAATTTCCAAACAGTTGACCAGAATTTCCTGTCAAAACCATTCATACTATTCTAATTTAACAAGGTATAATAGATATTTTTCACAAAAACTTCATTTGATCCACCTAAATTCCACCATTTTCTGTCAATACTATTAGATTCATGAGGAGGCAGCATGCTTCTAATAATTTGAATACAATCATCTGGAAGAAGAGTAGATAAATTCTCACAATTCCAAGCTCCATCACGAGTAACATAATCTATTACTTTCTTTTCAGCCTTCGTTGGGGAAATTTGAGTAATAGCTGTGTTAGCAAGTTTATCCCCAATATTCACCCACTGATCTTCCCAAAAAAGGATAGAAGAACCATCACTCACATCCCAAACCAGATTGGGTTTAAGTTTATTCCAAGCATCACACATAAACTTCCAAAGACAAGAATTGCCATTCTTCCAAGATAAATCCGCCTCATTATTAGATGGATTTATGTACTTAGCTTTTAGTACCTTCACCCAAAGTTGGTCAAGTTCATTTATAAAAGTCCAAAGAGGTGGTGAATTTACTTAGTAATAAGTATAACATTTTTCGTAATTTAAATATAAAATTAATTTTGTTGAAAATATTAATAAAAATATGAGTGAGCATATTTAATGAATGCATGGAATAAAAAAAAACTTAACGCATATTTAAACTTCTAAAAAAATTTGGGTGATCCTCTCATATTGAAAAAGACATGATATGGTTATGTGTGTAATTATAACTATACAAAGGTGGATTAATGATGATAAAAGAGAAAAAAAATATTAAAATAAATAGTTATTAAATTATAACCATTGATTCACGTTTGTATGATTATGATTGTCCTATATGTCATATTTTTTTTAAAACGTATCAATTTCCAACTTAAATATATTAAAACTGAGTGACATTGATTAGGAAGAGGGAATCATAATGGCTCAATGACAAGGATTACCAAGAAAGAAGATAGAAAGGAAGCAAGAAAATAAAAGAGAGAAACATAGAAAGTAGTCGTTGGCTATCACTGTTCCTCGTTGTGCGTGGCATTGTGATGTGTATGCCTTTTTCTTTTCTTTTTCTTTTCGAATGAGTGGGGCAATTTGTGGAGAATCTGTACCAATTATGAAAACATGGACTAGACAGACTCAAAAAATAATCTAATCTACGTGGCCCATAAAACTAACTATTTAAAGAAAGGGAATTTATTTCTTATCTCATTCAATATAAAAAAAATAAGTAAAATTTATTAAGAAAAAAAAAGTGGATCACATTTATTTTTTATGTATTATATAAGACAAAATTATCTTAAATAACATAATAAACATATTTTCCTTTCAAGAATTGATGGAGAATTAGGGAAAAATATAAAAAAGTGGTTCGATTAAAGGACTCATAATTTTACTTTGAATTTTTTTTAGAAAAAAAGTTGTTATAATTTTACATTATTTTAAGTGAAATTTACATATATTTGTTACTTTTTTGCATTTTTTTACACTATACTTTTTCTTTTTCTTACCTTCTAATTTTATAGAAAGAAAGAATATAAAAAAAAAATATGTATCAAAATACAATCGTTTCATTTAAAATAATATAAAACTATTTCTTTTAAAATAATAAATATTTTCCCTTTATGTAAATATATTTTAATTCTTTGTTCTTTATCCTAGGAAAGCAAAAATAACTCTCTTAAACGTACGCAAACATGAGAAAACAAAAGAAAATATTCTTAGATTCAAGGTAAGCACATGTTAGAATCGTAATTATAAATATTAAATATCACATACTAAAACTATTCATAGAAAAATAAAAGGTATTATAACTTAAATGAGATTTTTTTTTTCTAGATATAAGTTAAAGAATAAGTAAGATATACATTATCTTTTATTTTTCCTTTTTATTAAATAAGCTTTTCTTGTTTTGCGCCTAATAAATCAAAGTTGTCATTTTGGCAAGATGCGCGTGTAGGTGGATAGTTCGACCTAACTTTCAAAAAAGAGAGAGAATGATTGAAACAAAAAACTTAAATATGGATTGTGACAAATGCAGACTAGCAAACAAATCAGCATACAGCAGAACAACCACCCCCTAACCCTCTCTATTTCTACTAATTTCTGGCAAGTACTTGATATATAAACAAGAAAAAACGTTTAAAAGATATAACTTTAGTACTTTTAGATTTTAATAGTTAATTTTCATCAATCAACAATTAGAATTTATTAGGTCAAAATTATTAATTAATTAATAATTCGTAATAAAACCTAATAAATCCTAACCGTTGATTGACGGAAATCAACGATTAGGATCTAAAAGGACATAAAATTATATCATTTAAAAGGACAAACATTTTTACCTATAAAGAATGTTGGGGTTTGGAACATTTTATTTATTTATTTTTAAATACCAACGGTTATGCAGAGAATTAATAGGTTTGACTAATCCAATTTTAGATTTGTATTTCTTCATCCACCTCAGAAATTACGACTCTCAGGATTTGCATCTACTACCGTCCTTTGGATAGCCCAAATCCTAAAATCTAATGGAATAGTCACTAAACCAACAAGTTTATTTATTTGCAAAGGATTAAAGTAACTATTCACATAATTTTTTATAAAGCAGCATTCTAGATGTGCTTTACATTGAAATGGTTGTGGATGAAGTATATTATTAAAAAAAGGGATGGAGAGTTTTTTTATTCTTGTAGGATGTGTCTTTGTTTACATTTTTCCCACTTTTTTTCACCAACAGAAGTGGGGTATGTTCAACTTTTTTCTTTCTTTTTTACATTTCTATTAATATCTAATGTTTTTTTTAACTTTAATTTAACTCAACTTAAATTTTAACTTAGGTCTACTCAAATATTCTTCTACCGAGAATTTTTATACACTATGCATAATAAATTGGTATCAGATACACAACATTATGTGATATTCTTAAGAATGTTAGTTAGAATGAGTAATATGCTATTTGTTGGAAGATTCTCAAAGTTAAACTTTTTTTAAGGAATACAATATTTCCAAAAAAATAATGAAAAAAATTATTCCCTTTCAGTGGGATGAAGAATGATAGCATTATCCAACACCATTAATCTAAACCTCATTGCCCTATGAATATCTCTCCTTTTTTTATTTTGTATTTGGTTCATGCATTTGTGAGCTCCAACTATCATTGAACATAGTTGAGGGGTCAATTAAGAGTGGTAGATGAGTCAGTGGTGGTGATGAATGACGATATGTAGCAGAAGTTATAATGGTGGTAACTCTTGAGATATGTCACTTGCTTAAAATGTCCAAATCACATGACTCACAATATGTAAGGTGAGCCATTAATTTTAATTAGAAACAAAAAAGAGTTGAAAAGTAATGTTACAGATATACATTAACACACATCATTTTACATTTGTAATAGTTAATATTTAATTTTTACATTCTTACATTTTTACCATCCAACAAATTATTATATGAAGACAACATACCCCATCGTTAATAGAAATGCAAATGGAATGGTTAGTTCATTGAGTTCACAAAAATTAGATGGATTCCTCCTCAAGGTTATAAGAAAAAGCCACTTAAGTCATCTTCAAAGTTCAGTGTTTAATGCTTCAACTAAAAAGATAATGATTGGATTCAAGAAAATCAGTAGTTGGGAAGAAGAGATAAGTAATTAAAATTTAAAAGGGAGCAATCTCATTGAAACTGAAAAGCTTTGCATGAGGGGCTGCTAATTTTATAACAAGCTTTTCAGCACATGGATCAAAATTAATCCTCCAACCTGGATGGTTCGCTAAGCACAGAACATTTGCTTATAGTACAGCTTCAATTACAGACCAACTTCAAACATTTGTAGGTGCACATATTCAATGTAATGGAGAACATAATACTAATGCAAAACACATTATACAAAACTTAGTTACTGAGAGTTGAACCGGAAGGAGTCCCCAGATACAAACTTAGTCCTCATACTGTAATGGTCAAACTTAGGATTGTTATGATCAACAGCCCTTGTCTCAACAGGTTTTGACTCAGCTCCAACTGCCCCAAAAACAACTTCTCCACTCTTTTCTCGCTGCCTATGTCTTGGCCTTTCTTTCTGGCTCTTAGATTTAGTGTATGGTGGAATCTCAGTAGAACCATAGAATTCAGCATACTCGGGTCTTTTTGATGAACGGTGCTTACTTGATAAAGAAGGGTCCCTGAAACTGCTTGATTTTATCTTTGGGGGCTTCATTTCTGTATAATTCTCAGCTGTGCTTGGAGTTTGGACAGGCGGCGCCTGCCTTTTTTCGGTAAGAGGGGCAGGAGCGCTTTGCCTATTGACCAATGGAGGCTCCACTTCATCTTCGGGCATCACAAGACGATCTTTCAGTGGTGTTAGACCTCTCTTGGGGCCATTAAATTTGAAATGGGAGGGTATGAATTGAATGAAGGCACTAGCTAATGCTTCAAGGGAGAGCTTAGAAAGATCAACAAGAAGCTGTCCAAAAGAGGGCCATCCTGGCTCCTCTTTATTGCTCTCCAGGATTGACATGGGTTTTTCATTGCTTGCTTGCCCTTTGAAAACTCTTTCTGATGGTCGCTGCAGCATTTATGCAGTGTAATTAGCCAACCAGCAAGGGTGAAATGCTTTTTTTTTAAAAAAAAAATCCTAAACAGCATCACATAACAATTCGAATTGGACTAACCGGATAATCAATGAACCATGTGGGAAACCAATACATATGTATATACATATCTTTATATATATATATATATATATATGTATGTATATAGGGTTCATCTAATCTCATGTTACATGAGAGAAGATATCTTATGTTGTAGAGACACATATGGTGGGGCCCACTATTTACAAAAAAAGGAAAAAAAAGAAAAAAGAGTGTCACAGTTTTCGATGGGTCTATAGGAGATAAACTACTCTTATGTTGTATAAGAGTAGTTTTTCCCATATATATATATATATATGGGCAGATAACAAATCTTATATTACGGTTTTATTTTTTTGAAAATTAATAATTAATTAATGATAATAATCCAATTAATTACAATCATTTGATTGATGAAAATTAAGGGATAAGATTGAATGTAAAATTTATTATTCTTACACCAATGTAAGTTGATCATATATATATATATATATATATAGGGGAGGGATCATTTGACTCGAAGAGTAAGATTTAAAAATCTTACTCTTCATCTTAGCCATTGATTTTCGTTCATTTAGCGGTTATCATTTATTTGAAATTAATAATTAATTAATTATTATAACTTGTTGAATTATAACCGTTAGATGAACGGAAATCAACAGCTGAGATGAGGAGTAAGACTTTTAAGTCTTACTCTGGAGTCAAAAGATCCTTCCACCTATAGGGAAAAACATTTCTCAAGCAGCTTGAGATAAGTTTATCTCCGGCTACCCCAAAACTACGTTGTTTTATTTATTTATTTCCTTATATTAATTGATTCACCTTTGAATGGTTATGATTCCCTTTTTCTCTCTCTTCCTTTATCACCATTGATCCATCTTTGTACGGTTATGATTTAGTAGCCGAAGATAAGATTATCTCAAGCAGCTTGAGAAACGATAAGCCCATATATATATAGTAAAATCATATCTAAAGTTATTGTACGTGCAGCAATGATAAGTGTATGGTTATGATTCCCCACATTTAATGTTTTCACCTTATGTATGATTATGATTCCCTGTATTAAATGTTTTAACCCATATATATGAAAAATTTGTCACTGCTGCACGTAAAGCAACTGCAGAAAAATCGAACCCTATATATATATATATATATATATATATATATAATCAAGATCATTTTACATCGGTATAAGTTACCATCTCAATCTTAATCGTAGATCCTATTTATATCTAATGGTTTTGAGTTATTAAATATTTAAGCCGTTAGATATAAGCAAATCAATGATCAAGATTTGGTGTAAGACTTCTTATTCTTACATCGGTGTAAAAATATCCTACCCCATATATATATTAAAGAAAAATAGGATTTTATAGCAAAATTGTTGGGTTATTCAAGTGCAATGAGTCTCACATCAGTTGTTAATAGGCTAAGTGAAGTCCATATAAGTGGGAGGACCCATGAACCCAACCAGCCTCTAGCCCCCAATCACCTGGCTAACTCGAGCCCAACTCGGCTCTGATACCACTGTCAGGTCTAGGAGGAGCCCTCAGTGAGGGATCACCACCAATGGACTAAAGCTACACCACCATATCAAGCAGGTCAACACTATGTAACAATCCCAAACCTTAAGGTATTGGGTTCATGGGTCCTCCCACTTATGTGAACTTCACTTAGCCCATTAGCAACCAATATGGGACTCATAATACTTGAATAACCCAACAATCTCTCCCTCAAGTGTGAAACCCAACATTGGTATGCTTTCACTGTCTCCGAGTACCCAAACCCAAAGTACTCAACCCGCCTCCTAGCCAAACACCTAGCTAACTCGAACCCAACCCCAGCTCCGATATTGGGTTCATGGGCTAAACTAGACCAACCATATCAAGTAGGTCAACACCATGTCACAACCCTGAACCTTTAGGTATTGGGTTCATGGGTCTTCCCACTTATATGGACTTCACTTAGCCCATTAGCAACCAATATGGAACTCATAACACTTAAATAACCCAACAATCTCCCCCCCAAGTGTGAAACCCAACATTGGTATGCTTCCATTGTCTCCGAGTACCCAGGGCCAAAGTACTCAACTCACCTCCTAACCAAACACTTGGCTAACTCAAGTCCAACCCCAGCTCTGATACCATTGTTAGGCGGGTCTAGGAGGAACCCGTGGTGAGGAACCACCACAAATAGGCTAAACTAGAACAACTACATCAAGTGGGTCCAACACCATGTCTCATCCCAAAACCTTAAGGAATTGAGTTTATGGTCCTGCCACTTATATACACTTCACTTAGCCCATTACTAATTAATGTGGGACTCATCACATTTGAATATCCCAATAAAAATAATAAAGGTGGAGATCCTCCCATTCCTCCCCCCCCCCCCCCTGCCGCCGTTGCTTTAGCGCGCCAAGGAAAGAAAGAAATTGTTCCATGTAAAATAATGAATAAGCAGTAAATTTGAAGTTTTAACTTTAAATCCTTGCATTTTCAAATAACTCTGGTCATGTTTGGCTCATCAACATGAAGAAGTGTCCAAGATAAAGCAGAATAACATTTAGCAACATTATAAGGTTACTACAGGCAAAAAGTGAAAATTCTATATTTATATATCCTAATGAAATTTCTAGAGGCTGTTTCATAGGTTCGAATTCAGGAAACAGCCTCTTTGCAATTAGGTAAGGGTAAGGCTGCGTACAAGGATTTTCTCCACCCCACACTCGCTAGTCGGGTTTAACGGGGAGTGATTTTTTTTTATATATCCTAATGAAGCAGAACAGGCATACCGTTTTTGAGAAGAAAGAGGACCCAAATCCCTGCTGAAGCATGCATGTAGCATATCCTACCAGAACAGCACCAATAACTGTAAGGATATCTGCAGAAAAACCCACAAAATAGACTAAAATCAGAAAGTTATTGGATATAGAGAGAATCTATAGGACTAATAAAAGACGCAGTCACATAAACACTGTTTTCAAATTTACATATTCCCCAATGTTTCACCTCTCTGTTGAATACAGAAAATTCACATTTCAAATAAAACACACACACACGGGTAGATATTGTTTGCACTAAACACATTTAAAGAAAATCTTCTGACAAAGAATAAATCAGATCCACCGAGACAACATGGTGAAATTTCATAGCACTTTTCTGAATGCTATTTTCATTCCATTTTTAAGACCAGGACTGAGCAGACACATCAGTTGGATGAACTAAATCCACATGTAGTGACATAATTTAATCTATCTGCCTCACAAGTTTAGTCTATGAGTGCAAAAGATGTTCCCTTAAATTTGAAGATGGGCTCATACCAGATAAAGCAAACATTTCATATCAAGATGGATCCAATAAAGCTACCCTCCCCAGCTTAACAAAAATATGCCATAAGAGAGATGCAAGTAAACCATCATAGCAGAAACAGTCCAGCAACTAATGTTCATAGTAGTCAAGAAATAATGCCATACGATCAACAGATAGTATTTTTCCTTTTTCTTTCTTCATAACTGATATGGACGCCTTTATTCCTTCTTCCCTTTCTTTTTGTCAGTTTACAGGTGATATTCAAAATTCAAAACCAGAACTTTAACATCAGAATCACATGTTGTAAAGGCTAGAAATTTTTATTCTTCAGTGAAGCATAAATCATTCAAAACTTTATTGTCTTGTATTCACATTCTTCAAAGGTAAGACTTAAGAGAAAAGGAACCAGATTATTATCTTCTTATATCAATGGAAATGATTATATTAAATGATAAAGCATACCAAACAAAAGATAAGAATTTAAACCTGTACTTGAAATTGAACTAGATTGATAATCACAGTCCTCCTGGTCAAGAAAGATTTGCCGAAGAGCAGCATTTCCTCTATCAATGACCAACAAGGAACAGGTTGGCCGAACATATACCACATCAAAATCATTTGAGAACTTAGCATCCTCACTGGGCCCGTCCCTGTAGCCTGCAACATTTGATTTTCCTCCAGCAATGGTTGTCACACCTAAAACATAAACATCAGTAAAGATATCCTTTTTCACTACTCACACTGATCTTTCTGGCAATACATTAGGATTTCATCTGTCAATAATTGCAGGATGCAGAAGTCACAAGTTCAACCTATGGCAAGGAATTATTGTTCCTGTATTGTGCATGTAGATATGCCCATAACCCATGGCTTCAGTGTTTGAATGAATGGACTAACCATTATGCCATGTATTGGACTTTTAGGTTCTCATGCCAAATATCTCTAGCAGGATTCTGACAAGTTCTGAATTTAACAGTGAAAATTAGCAGGAAAAACAACTAGAAGCAAGCTCCAAATACAAACATGGAATGCAGAAACAGTATTAAAACGGGACAGAAAAATAGAGAATATCAGAGAGGAAAAATGCTATCTATGCCCAATGGCTACAGCCATCCCAAATTACCCAAATGATCCAATACCCCTAACATGATTGCAGCATCCTCTTCACCAATTCCCTGCTGCTCATTCTGTTAGAGCCACCCCTAACAACCCCATCCACTACACTTCCTAGCTCATTTCCCATTCTACCCTTGTACCCCTTCTCCTTTGCACAGTATACATGAATTGGAGGCCGAGCCCATGATTTAGAATTTTAGAGGCCCATCATTTTAGAACTTCCAGTAAAAAGAATTTCAGAATTGCATCTCAGGGTACTAGTAACACTTGAATTCCTATTAGAACATTTTATATTCAAACTCCACTCTAATATTGTCAGATACCAATACACCATCTTAGTCCATATTAGATCCTAAATTCTTGTAACTCAATTATCACATACCAGCATCTCCAATCTTTCTGATGGCAAGATTCTGAGTATCAGCAACATAAATATTCCCTTTATCATCCATGGCTATGCCTTTGGGATGATTAAAACGTGCATCACTTGGTTTTCCATCCACATGACCTGTGTAGCCCTGAAATGACCCAGCTACCAATCTTCCTCTACTATCTGCAGTAACATAAATAGATAACAGGAAGAATTAATAAGTAAATATAAGTCCAATGACTAAAGATCAAATCATTCCAATTTTCAATAAATCCAAAATTCTGTTTAATTAGCCAGATAACTTTCATTTACTAATGCGGTTATGCGAAACACATGAACCAAATATACCATAAAGCTTAGGCCTTTCTTTTTCCCTTTTTTCACCCTTATGTTTGACTGGGGAAGTATCAATTCCCTGTTTAGTAGAACCAGTCAATACACTAAAACTCAGATTCCTTTTTTTTTTTGTTTTATCATCATTCTTACAACTTGCCTGCAAAATTCAGAACCAATTAGAAAGAATTATGAGATAAGGACATCCCAGGAATGTATGTCAAAACTGTCATATCCTGACAAACTAAATTTGCTAATAACAGTTATAAAAATTCAAGAGGACAAAAGTAACCATACATTGCGATAATGGCGGGGTGATTCGAACAATGTTGCTATTACTTGCATCAACCGCAAAGAGTTCACCATCCTCTTCAGAGACACGGATCCTATAAGGGATGACCCCAATCTCATTTCCTTCCACAACAGTCTCAACTACGTAACCATTCTCAAATTGAATAACATTCCCATCTGAAAAGAAAGAAATAACAAATTCACATTTACATACACACCTGAACCATAAGAATGTTACACCATGAATATGACTTGAAAGCTATCAGTTGAGAATGAGCAACCACCTGAGTGTGGTGTTTTGGAGGTAGACCTTGTCCATTTGATAAGTGAAGACAGATGCTTAATCAATGGCCCTAATTCATCAACATTGTTAAATTAAAGTAGCCAAAAGAGAAAGAACCGCACAAAATGTTAAGAAATTGCCTTGAATTATTATGATGGAAAGTTGGTTTTCTTCTTATTTATTGAACCACATTAAGAGAGGGTGAGCCTGGAACAGTGGTAAAACTGCTCCTTTGTGATTGAAAAGTCACAAATTTGAATATGGGAAATAACCACTTTGCAAATATGTAAGGGTAAAGCTGCGTAACTCTCATCCCACCTCGTTTGCCAAGGTTAAATGGTGAGTGATTTTTTTATTGAACCATGTGGGCAATGGGTGGCTTATTTCGCAAGCTTATATAATTGGCCTACTGCCGATAAGAAGTAGCAGCTAGCCATATTTGTCAAAGTGCCTAAGTCAATTAAAGTAAGGAGGGGCCATGCTATTGAATGGTGGAGGCATCATTATTTGATAAAGTAATGAAAAGATGATGGCAGCCACTTTAGAAGAACAGGGGAGCCATAAATTAGTTGAATGATGGAGGATAAGGCAGTGTGTGTAGGCAAGGAAACATAATACACCCATTAATGCTCGTGATGTCATCCCTGTTTTATGATGTATATATATATATATATATATATATATATATATATATATTCCTTCTAATTCTTTGAGAAAAAAGGGTGTATTGTGAGAAATATTTTGCATGCGGCTTGAATGATCTCCACAGAGTGCTTGTAATTCCCGATTTAGAATTAGTGAATTTTTCTCTTCTCCACGTGATTTTTCCCACAAGGATTTCCATGTAAATTCTTTTTTACTTGTTTCTGTTGTTGATTTCATTTTTCATATTTGTGGATGATAACTTTTCAGGTTCGTTTCCGCATTTGTCATAACAAATTGGTATCAAAGATTTCGGTTTTGTTTCTCAATTTGGCTATGGCGTTAAGTTTATCCAAAAGTTTGACGGGACCAGCAATTTTAGTCTATCCAAGTCCATATGATGGCCGTACTCATGCAACAAGGTTTGAAGAAAACGTTATATGGGAAGGCGAATAAGCCAACAGAGATGCCAAATGTGACACAGGACAAGAATGACGACAAGGCCTTGTTAATCATTCAACTGTGGCTTGCTAATGACAAATTGCAGGAGGCGTTATCGAAGAAGACAACGGCTGACCTTTAGGCTAAAGTGGAGACCATGTATATGACAAAATCTCGCACCAATTGGTTGAGATTCAAGCAAAGGTTATTAACTCTTCCTACGAAAGGTGTTAGAATTTAACCCTATATGGACTAACTTATATCATTATTAATATAATTTTAATAAAATTCATATCAATATTGGAGAGTTGAGTTAGACTTAGTTTGTTGACCGTACCATTATTAAATATTGTTTTATGGTCGTTAGCAATATATGTTGGTTTTATTCATGTGTGCCTTATTTGTGTTATTTGTAATGGGCCATATAACAATATGAACTGATAAGGGAGGGGTCCCTACTCGATAAGTAGTATAAGTGCCTCATTATCTTATATTTAGTTATACACTTTTGCAAGACTTACCAGACAAATAGAGAAGTGATTCCCCCTTTCACATCTCCAGTGCTCCTCTAGGTAATAATCTAAGCTAAATCAGATAGCATTCATTCTTAAAATGATTTACATATTTATGTACATTATGAATTTGTATCCTTTGGATTTTAAACAAATCCTTCAGAAGGTACTTCTGAGATTAACAAAATTGTTTCCAATTTAGGAAGAATTGATGTTAAAGTGAAAGATGTGCATCAGGCTATAATACTAGTTTTCTTACCTCCATCGTTTTAGAAAAACTATGATCATGGAAAGAGATACAATTTCTATTTTATATGTCAAATTGTTGAACAAACAAAAGCTTGTTGACTCGTGATGTCACCACTATTTTATGGTGGTCTTTCTTCTTACTTTCTTAGTATATATATTTCTTCCTTCTAAGTTCTAATTCTCCGAGAAACATTTTGAGTGAGGCTAGAATGATCTCCACATAGTGCTTATAATTCCTTGTTCATAAATAGTGAAATTTTCTCCTCCCAGTGATTTTCCTCGCAAGGTTTTCCATTGTGTTTGTGTTGTTGATTTCATTTTTCATATTTGCAATCGCAAGTGATAAATTTTCGGCTAGTTTCCACATTTGTCATAACCCAAAAAAAATAAAAAATAAAAAATAGCATACCCACTTTGTAATCAAATCACACAAACTAAAAAGGGGAATTAATTGGTATTCAGCAATATTAAGCAAAAAGATTAAAAATTTAGCATACCCATTTTATAAAATAAAAAATAAAAAGGAAACTTAAAGTTGTTGAAGAAAATGGGGGAGAGGGTTTTGTTTTACCTGCAGGAGCAGCGTGAGCTTGAAAGCGGAGAGAGAAAGTAGCAGCAAGTACAATGAGACCAAATAAGAAGAGAACTTGATTTCTCATAGTTAATCTGGTACCAAAATGAATGAGTACTAATGGGTTTCGTTGTTAGTTTGAGTTTGTGAAGAAGAAGAAGAAGAAGAAGCTATGAAAGAGTGAGGAATGGCATCAAAGCATGCCAACAAACTAGTAGCAAGTGGGTTCTTCTTCTTCTTCCACTTCGTCTTGTTAGGCACATACACAGCACATCCACAACAACGCTCTTCTCTCTCTCTCTCACACACTCTCTCTCTCTCTCTAAAGCGTTTTCTTTTCTGCGATGCTTTTGGTGTTTTTAACTTTTGTTTGTCCATTTACGCGGAAAGTGAGTTTTTCGAGGAGAGGGAAGCTGATGAAAATGAAAACGCTTTTACCTTCCATTACTGTGGTCATTCTTTGCTTTTGGGACAATTATTGAAAGTATATACTAGTTGTATTAAGTTTTAGCATATTAATATACGGAAAAAATAGTTTTTCCTTTTTTTTTTTTTGATCAACCATAACCTTGCATTTTGATTTTTGTTTGTGGGTACCTTTTAAGTGCTGAAATATAGTTTAATTGTTGATTACATTTTGTATTTTGATAGTGCTTGAACAGTTTGCTAATTTAATTTTTGATTCTTGAAATTTAATTTAATTTTTTGTGTCCACGATTGATGTCTGATCTTTGAATGTTAATTATATTGTGATTGGCATTAATACGGGTGCATTTGTTTTTTCAGTTTGACATTGTGACAAAATGACTGACAGACACATCTCGAAGAAGAGAAGAGTGGGTACCGAGAGGAGGACTAAGCGCCAACATGATGGGTCCTCATCCTCTCAAGTCTCAACCACAAGTTGTTGTTCATCAAGCTCCTGACTTGCCTTTCGGATATTTATTTGAGGATGACATTGCAGCACATGAGAGGTTTGTGAAGTCCTTCATGAGCCACAAAATATGTGAGCTGAAATCACTAGATTCGGCGTTCTTCAACTTGGAGCGGTTCGACATTGTGCCACTTCTTGATCAGACACATCTCCTGGTGCTTGCGGAGATGAAGTGCCCATATTCGGAGGTTATGGTGAGAGCTTTCTACCAGAACCTCCACTACCTACATGGCGAGCTGACTTCCTGCATGGACAGAGCTCTTCGGGTTTGACTTTGATGATTTACCAGACGCAGCCTTGTGTGACGGAGACTTCCATCATATATTTGGTGGTTATGATCGAGAGGCGATTATTGTGGAGACAAGGACAGTTGATGCAGATGCTGGACATTTTGCTCATTATCCTGTGAGCAATTTATCGATGCTCGCCCGCATATTACATTATGTTATGACATATTATTTTTCAGTGCGATCATAATTACTCGAAGGTGCTAGAAAGTGACTTTGTTGTTTTATGGGTCATCCTTCACCATATTCAAGTGAACTGGAGGCACTACATATGCATCCTTATGTGGAAGGCTTTAAAGTCTAGGAAGACTGAATTGCCTTTTGCAATCCTAGTGCAGAAGATTTTGCACAAATTTGGTATGCTTATGGAAACTGAGACGCTTAAGATAGCCACGAGATAGAATGCCATATTTGATGAGTGTCTACTGAAGCAGTATGGGATTATGCAGAGCCGCGGGGGTGTGTGGTATTGGAAGAGGGCACATGAACCACCAGAGGTCCCCCTTCATCATGATGTTGAGATAGAGGATGCACCTGCAGGTGATGTTTGTGATCTTTAATATTTAATCTATATTTTTAACCAAACAAAATTTTAATATTTAATATTCTTGCTATGGATGCAGGCCTTGATGAAGATGACGATGATGATAATACTGTTGCAGCTGATGATGCACCTCCACGTCCCACCAGCATCCGGCCACCACCTTATCCTCCATCTCTTAAGGGTGGATGGAAAGCTCCTAAGGGTGGACGAAGAGTTGATCATGTCATGTCATCTATGTATAACTTGACATGTGGCCTTGACTCCTTGACGAGTGAGTTTAGGGGTTTTAGAAAGAGCACAGGCAAGTGGAAGACTCATATGGACAACAGGGTCACACGCTTGGAGGCTCACTACAGACAAGGTGCCCGCAATGTGGAGGAGCCTGTCGCTACTGTTGAGTCTGGTGATGAAAAGGATGAGGACGGGGAGGAGACAAAATCAGATTCCAGCCATTAGGCTTTTTTATGTATTCAAGCCTTTTGGGGATGTATTTAGCGGGGCTTTGGATGTATTCAGGCCTTTTTGGATGTATTTAGCGAGGCTTTGGATGTATTCAGGCCTTTTTGGATGTATTTAGCTTCATGTATGTGGGACTTATTTGTACTTGCAAGTATATTCCAGAAGTCCTTCTTGTTAATGAAATGAGTATTTAGCATTTACATTTTTGCATTATTGATATTTTGCCACTTAAGGTTGATCCGAATGAAAGCTGTGTAGTTTAGAATGAGAAAACCTCATACCTAGATCCAAATGAGTATAACTAAGTCAGTTTGGTGTCCAAATGGGTATAACTAAGTCAGTTTGATGAAGTTAAGGTCATTGTTTGATCCAAATGACACCTTGGTTGCTTTCAACCAACTACGTAATTACCTTTACGCACTCTGTCCTATCTGCATCTCGTATGCACCCAATTACCCCCTCCTCAAGTCATATTGTATGATGGCATGGCTGTACATAGTCTCCCGGAACAAAAAAATGCGTGGACTAGCAACTGGGGTTCAAATCCAAGCTGGTCTACCCAAGTAACCTGAAATGGTGTACCTGGGTACAATATAACACCTCGTGTATACCTGGTTTGTTAACATGTCATCGTACTAAGCCACGCTTAATTTAAAATGCGAAATATCTTTTTCTTTTCAATTATGACGTCATTATACTTAGCCAAATTGATTATTTAATCATTTTCATAAAAACATCGCCTGTATATAAATTGCAAAAGACATCTAACTGAAATACCTCAATAGATAAATAAGTGAGTATTCGACTACAAAGGGATAAGTATTCCAATACTACGCGAAAAGTATTCAAATACTTATCAGACAGAATGTAGAAACTCGAGTTGTTCACTGCATAAGTCCAAATTAAAGCATTCAAAAGCGATTGGGAGTCCAAAAACTCCCTAAACAGATATTCAACATCATGTTATGAACTCAGAAACACATTCCTTTACCTAAATGGTCCAAGTTTTACTTATTAATCGACTAAACAAGCTTAAAACATGAAAATGACACAAGGGTGATCATGTATACCTCCAAGGCTCCAAAACTCCGAAAATGAGACACATAAAGAGGCCTCTACACAACACCAAGGTTCAGCCACAAAGGACTACGAAAATCAACAACAAGCTTGGACCTTTACACCAAAAGGTGGTTTCTTGGCACCACCAAAGACATGAACAAGGCTTCCCCAATGAAAATCCCAAACACAGCCACAAAACCCCTCCACTCAGAAGCCTAAACTCAGAAATGAGTGGCCTCACACCTTCACAAAGCTTGGTTTCACACACCTAAACTATTTTGGTGAAGGAAGTATGCATAAAGATGATCACTTGAAGGGTTAAAGGAGGAAGAAAGCTATGAGATGGTGAAGAAGAATGGAGGCAGCAGCTGAGCCTCCAAAAACTCACGTAGGAACAATCAGAATTAACCTAGGTCTTTGTGCCACTTAGCTTATATAGGTCCACTTAAGTTAAAACACACAGTAATAACAAAAATAGCTACGCTTAGCATTTTAATCTAAAATTTGGGATTCTGAACCTAGCCATTTTTCCAAGATTTATCATATTTTTATTTTATTTTTCACAGCACATTTTCGGTACGCGCTTTTCCATAACCAATATCAGTTCTGGCACCAGTTCTCATTATTTTAACTTCAAACTTGTTTTACAAGTCCTATATATTATTCTAGTGACATATACACACTTTTTATAATTTTCCGGGATACTTCATCGGTACACACTTATACCGAGTAACAGAATCGGTATTTGCACTTTTCGTCAGAAAAGCGACTTTCAGCATTATTAATCACTTATCATAATTATTTAAGCCTTAACATAATTATTAGGGTCAATTATGGAATCATTTCCTAATTTCACATAATTAATTAATTAACTTCCATAATTAACGGTGCGGGTTATTACATTCACCCCACCTTTTTAGGTTTTGGTCCTCAAAATCAGAATATACCTATCTCGGAAGTCGGGATACTGCCGGAGAAGCTCGTCCTCTCGCTCCCAAGTACACTCCTCAGGAGCTCTTCCGGTCCACTGCACTTTGACCATCAGAATGATCTTGCTCCTCAGTTGCTTCTCGCCACGATCGAGAATCTTAAGTGGTCCGATGGGAGTTTTCAAGTTCTCCCGAACTTTCACATCATCCGGTTGCACCACGTGCGAAGGATCTGCTACGTACTTCTGAAGCTGAGACACGTGAAACACGTCGTGAATGTTGGCCAAGTTCGGAGGCAAGGCAAGCCGATAGGCAACTGATCCTACTCTACCAAGGATCTGGTATGTCCCAATGAATCGCGAGCTCAACTTCTTCACTCCGAGGGCCCGACCAACACCGGTGACAGGTGAAAGTCTGACAAACACGTCTGAACTCCAGTGGACGATGCTTGACATTGTAGTAGCTCTTCTGGCGATTCTGCGCCTACTTCAGCTTCTCTCGGATCATCTGGATCCGCTGGGTAGTATCTTGGACAAAGTCCAAGCCAAAAAGCTCATTGTCTCCAACCTCAGACCAGCAGGTAGGAGTCCGACATCTCCTACCATACAACGCCTCGTAGGGTGCCATGCCCAGGCTAGCATGGAAACTGTTGTTGTACGAAAACTACACCAATGGTAGGTACCTATCCCATGCTGAACCCTGCTCCAAAGCGCAAGCCCTCAACATGTCCTCCAAGGTCTGGATGGCCCGCTCAGTCTGTCCGTCAGTCTGAGGGTGATAGGTTGTACTCAATCTCAACTGAGTACCAAAAGCTCCTTGCAGCGCCTCCCAGAACTGAGATGTGAACTTCGGGTCCCTATCACTGATAATACTCTCGGGCACCCCGTGAAGCCTCACAATCACGCGAACATACAGTTTGGACAACTGCTCAATAGTGAAGCTCACCTTCACTGGAAGAAAATGGGTAGACTTTGTCAGTCTGTCCACAATGACCCAGATAGAGTCGCAGCCAACCTGAGTCTTCGGCAAACCCACCACGAAGTCCATAAAAATGCTCTCCCATTTCCATTCCGGAATCTCAAGAGGTTGAAGTTTACTAGACGGCTTCTGGTGTTCTATCTTCACCTTCTGGAAAATCAAACACTTGGACACATACATAACTATGTCATTCTTCAT